TCATTTCTTTGTCAGTGGGCAAACGTACAAAATCAGCAGGGGATCAAATACTTTTTTCCCTCACTGTAGATACTGAAGCAATATCTTTTTCTGTGCTTGTCTTTCATTATTTGGTCCGCTATGCATGAATATGAAGGCTCAGCATTTGTTGTTCGCATGTCTTGCCTAAGTTTGCTAATCTTGTCAACGAAAATGTATTAAAGTGGTTGGCAATATCAAAGGGTTTTGTTATGAATGAGCCATCAGCCTCAATGAAGGATGGAGCTGAGTTAGCTTTTCTGCTTAGAATTTCATTTAGGGTACTCCAGAGCTTTTTACTATCATCCTTTCTATCATGTATCTTTGTTCCATAGTATAGTTTCTTCTTCTTTTTGTTTAGTTTAGTTATGTGATTTCTCAATTTACTGTATGCTTGCTAATCTGCTGTGTTGCCAGACTTATTTGCCATTCCTTTAGCCTCATCCCTCTCATCCATACAGTTTTTCAATTCATCATCTATACATGGGGATTTGGCAGTTTTAACTGTCAGTTTCATTATGGGCGCATGCCTGTCAGTAACTGGAAGAAGCAATTTCATAAATGCTTCAAGTGCAGGGTCAAAATGTTCATCATTACATACATCAGACCAACAAAAAAATGTCACATCTTCAACATAGAAATCATTGCAAAACACTCTTGTATGACCGCTTGTACACTATATTAGGTCCAGTCTTTGGAACTTTGGTTTTCCTAGATGTGGCTATTATATTATGATCACTACATCCGATGGGTGTGGATACTGCTTTAGAGCAGATTTCTGCAGCATTATTAAAGATGTGGTCAATAAAAGGGGATGATTTAGTTTCTGTTCTGTTTGTAAATACCCTGGTAGGTTGACTCCTCTCTAAACTTTACAGGAATATGACTCTGAATATAAACAGCAATACCTCCTCCATTGTCATTCCTGTCTCTTCTATAGATGTTATAACCATATATATGGTATCATTTTGATTATGGAAGATTGAATAAGTGTGCTTCAAACTGTTTGCTTGGAATGATTTGTAGCTATCTTCTCTAGGAATTATTTGTATAGCTATAGTCTCTGTGCATGAGAGTGCATCCAACTCAGTTTCCCTACCAGAAACACGCGATACTGTAAGTGTTGTGTATTCACGCATAGTAATTAAGGAGAAACCTGAATAGCGGATGACTCGATGGATTGACTGCGTTTTGCGAGTGTCGGCTCACTTGACCCTAGTTCATCACCACAGCAGATTTTTTGTGGACTGATTAGGGAACGCCCACATATACAGACACTGACAGCAGGTGCAAGCTCTCCGTAGCCTAATTTAGGATATTCTATGTTGAGGGGAGTTTGCATATATACACACTACCAGTCAAAAGTTTGGACACCTACTCATTCAAAGGTTTTTCTTTATTTTTACATTGCAGAATAATAGTGAAGACATCAAAACTATGAAATAACACACATGGAATCATGTAGTAACCAAAAAAGTGTTAAACAAATCAAAATATATTTGAGATTCTTTAAATAGCCACCCTTTGCCTTGATGACAGCTTTGCACGCTCTTGGCATTCTCTCCAGCAGCTTCATGAGGTAGTCACCTGGAATGCATTTCAATGAACAGGTGTGCCTACTTAAAAGTTAATTTGTGGAATTTCTTTCCTTCTTAATGTGTTTGAGCCAATCAGTTGTGTTGTGGTAAGGTAGGGGGTATACAGAAGAGAGCCCTATTTGGTAAAAGACCTTGTCTATAATATGGCAAGAACAGCTCAAATTAGCAAAGAGAAACGAGGTCAGTCAATACAAAACATTAAGAACTTTTGCCCAGTGCAGTCGCAAAAACCATAAAGCGCTATGATGAAACTGGCTCTCATGAGGACCGCCACAGGAATGGAAGACCCAGAGTTACCTCTCCTGCAAAGGATAAGTTCATTAGAGTTACCAGCCTCAGAAATTGCAGCCCAAATACATGCTTCACAGAGTTCAACACAGACACATCTCAACATCAACTATTCAGAGGGGACTGTGTGAATTACATTTACATTGAATCAGGCCTTCATGGTCGAATTGCTGCAAAGAAACCACTACTAAAGGACAAAAATAATAAGAAGAGACCTGCTTGGGCCAAGAAACACGAGCAATGGACATTAGACCGGTGGAAATGTGTCCTTTGGTCTGGAGTCCAAATTTGAGATTTTTGGTTCCAACCACTGTGTCTTTGTGAGACGCGGTGTGGGTGAACGAATGATCTCTGCATGTGAATTTCCCACCATAAAGCATGGAGGAGGAAGTGTGGGGGTGCTTTGCTGGTGACACTGTCTGTGATTTATTTAGAATTCAAGGCACACTTAACCAGCATGGCTACCACAGCATTCTGCAGCGATACGCCATCCCATCTGGTTTGGGCTTAGTGGGACTATCATTTGTTTTTCAACAGGACAATGACCCAAAACACACCTCCAGGCTGTGTAAGGGCTATTTGACCAAAACGGAGAGTGATGGAGTGCTGCATCAGATGACCTGGGCTTTTTTACAACATTTGGGCAAAGGCCTGTTCAATATATATTTTTGTCACATACATGCACTCTCAAAAGTTGCCTCACAAAAATAACAAAGACAGAAGAAGTGTGTCAAGCATAGACTGTAAAAATCGTGTCTAATCATAATTCCACCACTAGAGTTCTCCTGTGTAAAAAAATATGTCCTGCTATGTTGGCGCTGTTTACCTCCCAAATCCTGTGCTGTGGCCAGCTGGACATAAACCATATTTCAGACAGTCTAAACTATCCCGGAAATACAAATGTAAGGTATTTTACATTGAATCCTTAACGGATGTATACAGACACATAGATTATTAATACTGTAGTGAAGGTAAGTTTGACATTTATTTAATGAAACATGTATTACTTCAATGAAAACATTACGGCTAGCTAGCTAACGTTAGCTGAATTAGCTATTTTATGGCTGGACCTGTTTTATCAACATGGCGCCTTCGATTCAAAAAATCATTTCCCGTAACGTTACTGTATACGTTTTGGTAGCTAGTTTCTTTGCTACTGTCAAAAAACTATATTATATTTGATTAGCTAGTTACGTGGCTATTAATAATGTTTGACAGCTAACGTTTGCTAGATAGTTAGCTCCTACAGAACTGCTAACGCTGGCTAGTTACCTTAGCTTAATTTACAATTTGGTTTTGTCGAACCATTTTTAGGTTTATAGCTTTAGCAGTTTACAACAACATGCATATTGAAGTATTGTATCTAGCTAACTAACGTTTTGACAATCTGTCTTTGGCCCACGCTTTGGAGATTACCCTAACCAAATGTTAGCTAGCGAGTTAGCTTCCTGTTAGTACTAACTAGCTACCTAATATTAAGTTGACAGTAGCCAGCTAACTGACTGGGAGCGCCCAGCTTGCTATTGTGGCCTTGGCTGCTTTTGTTGAAATATCCACGGACTGTGTTGACTACTTAATCCGGAAATAAGACAAATTGGATGGTCTAGGGAAGAAGGCACATTTACCTGCTCCCCCCACTAACCATATGCAAATAATTGGCCAGACAAAATTAAAACACAGCCACGAGAAGGCTCATTAATGTATCCAATTAGCTGGCCAACGCGTCAGTTGGGGAACAAAACATTTGCCTGATTGCCAACATTATGCCTTTTGAATGTAAAAATGATTAGTTTTGTCCCAGTTAGTTAAATGTTCATTGATCTGTAATAATAGTCAATGAAATAAGTGATTGCAATGAATGTAGCTAACTAATTAGCTTGGTACCACACATAGCAGGCATATCTTACACACAAAACTGTTTTATGCACATGTGCCGTTCATCATGGAATGTGTCATGATGGTGTGAAAAGTTGCCTGACATGGTTAGCCGAACCCATATGCCTATTCAGGTCCAGCGAATGAGATGAGTGGTCCAAGTAGCCTATCCTGTTTTTATATTTTCAAAATAGTATTTCTTGACATAGTTTTAGCTATCCCTACAGCTTTAGCACAGCCATAGGCCTTCTCCTTCAGGATTTCTGTCTGCCATAGCCACCCTCCTCTGTTGAGCACTGATTGTGTTGGAAGAGTGGAAACAGAGGAGCAGCTGGACCTTGAGGAAGACAACAATCATGATGCATACATTTGATCAACTTTATTTGAACCTTTGTTCATCTTGATGCCAATAACTAGACTTACCTCATATGATTAAAAGCTCTGGCTTTTGATTGTCAGAGTGTTGTGCTCCTGGACACCTTGCCTAATTGAATGGGGGAGTGTAGTTCCTCCACCTCTGTTGTATTGGAATCATGTAGTGTGAGTACCCCTGAGACAGAGGTGTGTGCAGGTAGCAGCTGTGATCGGTTGCTGTTACCTGCCTGTGTAAGGTGCCAGCTCTCCTTCACCCTTTCTCACAGCTCAGCAGGCAGCATGTCAGGCATTGGAAGAGACATGATTTACAGTCTGTCAACCCTCAGGTTATTTTTACTGTCTTGCTAAGGCCATACAAATTTAATGAAATGTTTAACGGATGCCCCTCTTCACTTTTGTCAAAAATAAAAGGTGGAAACAATGCACCATTAAAATAAAAATGATGTCCTCAAGCTTCCTGTAAAGAGATACACAACTTGCTGTCAGATTATAGCTGAACCATGCCTCTTTTAGTGTCTCCAAGAGGCTAAAATCTCTTGATTAGGTCGCTAGGTGGTGAACTAAGGTTGCTATAGTTTTTTTAACAAGAAGCTCTACTCTTGAATTTTTTATTTATATTCGCTCGCTTGCCTCACCTTTCAAAAAATGAAATCTGTTAACATTTAATAAAATGTATATGGCCTAAGTGTTTGTTGCTCTATATATCAGTGTAAACTTAATAGGCTTCACGTACAGGATGCCATGGTATTGTAAGCACTGGATGTGAGCGGCCTAAATCTGTGAAATTTGGCTCACATTTCAATTTCACATGTTTTTTAATCTGACTATGACCAATTGAAGCTAAATATGAAGTACCTGATATGTAGGCTATTTCCTCCTGTGTCTGACCCAATGAGTTGGCAAAATCCCAGGATGTGTGTAGGTATGTGTTCAGTAAACTCTTGTGAATGATTAGTAATTTTGTCCTTTGGTCTTTAAATGTTAGAGTTGAACAAAATTATTTATGGATTTGCATTCTGTTTGTGAAGTCTGGACTAAAATTGACATATGGTGAGGTTGTAACAGCAGTTTTCTGGTTGTCACTAGTTACCACAGCCACAAAGTTGGATTTAAAACATAGTTTCAGAGAAATTCTCTGACTGCTATAGTAAGCTGTGTCATGAGAGGAGGTGATGCTCATCACAGAGATACAACTGAGTCCTTTGTGACATGGTGTGAGGCCAATTACCTGCACCTGAATGTACTGAAGACCAAGGAGCTAGTGGTAGATTTTAGGAAAAATAAATATGTTTTTAATTCCATTTTTATTAATGGTGAAGAGATTGGTACTGGGGACTCGTACAAGTACTTGGGTGTAATAGTGGACAACAAACTGAACTGGAACGAGAACTCCCACAGTGTTTACAAAAAAAAACAATCCAGATGGTACTTTTTAAGGAAGTTTAGCTAGATCTTTTAATGTCTGTGACAAAATGCTTCGCATGTTCTACAGCAGTGTTTTGGCAAGTGTAGTGAGCTATGCCATTGTGTGCTGGAAAGAGAACTTAAACAAGCTTGACAAAATCATCAAGAAAGCCAGTGCTACAATTGGCTGCAGCCTGGAATCAATGCAGGACATGTTCATAAAAAGACTGCATGCAAAAACACACATGATCATGGACAATGACATACACCCACTCCACAGCACTCTAATGCAACACAAGTCCAGCTTCAGTAGCAGGTTCATCCTGCCTAGAAGTTCTACAGAGAGGTTTAGACTGTCATTTTTACCCACAGCCATGAAGCTTTTTAACAAATGTAATTGATGAACTGTTTTATGTCTTCCTATTGTTTTTGCTTGTTTTTCCTCTAAAGTAGGATAGAAAACAGCACTTGAATCAGACTATTATTTTACGGATACTAAGGTGCAGGTGCCTTCATGTGTCTTAATCTTACATTATTGATGATGCATGCTGTGATAAAACAATTTCCCAAATTGGGATTAAAGGAGGCAAACTGCTATTGTTCCTTTATTTTCTCTGGAGTAATATTGTATTTCCTCATATTTGATTTGTTCTATGGCAGTGTCGGGAAGTTGCACAACTTTCATTGTTTCTTTTGTAATAAAAGTTTATTTTTCAGGATGATGCTTTTCTTCTCCCACTGTAGGCCATTTCTACTACAGGTCCCTAAGTGTTGATTCCTGTTACATTGCAGTTTTCAAGGAAATTATAAAGGAAGGCCAATAGAATTAGGCTAGGCCCTAGGAAGCCTATGGGAAGCCACCTGTGACACTTGCATTGATCATTGGAGCTGTGTTGTGTCATCATTGACAATGGACATCTATTAGGCCAGTCAAGGCACATTTCTGAGGTCAGGACCTTCTGAAATGGGAATAGACATAGTTTTTGTTGTCTTGATTAGGTTGACCAATCCTTGTCCTGAAGGGCTGTGGAACCTGCAGATTCTTGTTGTTTCTTATCCTGGATGAATCCTTATTCTGGCGGTTTTAGCTAGGAAGATGGCTGGAGGTAGCCTGATGGAATCATCCTGATCACTGCGTTCATCGTTCTGTTGATGTGAAATAGAATGATGAACGTAGCAATCAGGATGGTTCCACCAGGCTAGGCTGAAAGTGTAGTCTTCCCCTGCTCTGTATTGATGGTTCTCCTTGATGAGGATTTTTTCACTTGAGCTGAGAGGAGGTATGCCTACTGGTTGGGCCCGGCTTGTCTGAGCCTTTGTTTCAACCATGAGACAAAAAGGGAAAACTCTTTCACTGTTAATTTCCTGATTTGAAATTGTGGAACTTTTCAGGCAGGTTCTGCAGTGTTTAAAGAAGTAGCCTAATGTTTTGAAACCTTTCTTCTCTCCCATTCCTTGCAGGTGTCATGAATAAAGAGATCATGTCTCGTGTGGTGAAGAAGAGGCAGGCAGACCCTAAAGTGGTCCAGTACGTGTGGGCTGCCATTGAGGTCATCCGCAACCAGAAACAAATTGCCAACATGGACAGGATCTCAAAGTAAGTGCTGCAGTCATACTAGTTCTGTTCCAATACGCTTGGAAAGTGGAGACGTCACATACGCCAAAGAGTAGGCCTAAGCATTAGTGGAGACACCTTGCCATTTTCAAGCCAAAATGACGAGGTGTCTCTAGTTGTTTACAATTGTGATACACCTTCCATGCATAGCCTATTCACTTTCAATACATATTGAGTTTGGTGGATGGTGGTTGGTCTTACCCACCGTGCTCTCAGGGTCATGCTTGATCAATAGGTGAAATGAGGATGGTTTCATGGTTCAATACTTGACATGGAATTTATTTTGCTTATTGACGTTTAGACTACAGGGCTTGACATTCAGATACATTTGCCAGTGGCACACCAATCACAGGAAAGCAAGTTATGCACGCAAAATTTCAATCATGGGTGATTTCATGTTTCATTTGCAGTCTGGGCAAGCACCGTATAGCCTATAGCCAACCATAAAATCTGATATTTAAACTGATTGTTTGGAAAACAAAATTAAAACCATCCCCCCTCTCAATGATGACATATAGCCTTAACAAATGAAACCGTTTCAAATGTAATATTCCCCACCAGAAATTAGCCCAATAACATATTGATGAAAAGTCATATATTTAGGGCCAGTACATGGTCCATATTGCAGGCAGGTGTACTATTTTAGCAATAAGCATTATCACCTGTAGCCTGATGCAGTATCGTGGCTACATGGCTGAAGCATTGGGTTGCTAATCTGCATTGTTTACCCCAATGGGCTAATCATTAGCTACAGTGCAGTCGGAAAGTATTCAGACCTCTTCCCCTTTTCCACATTTTGTTACGTTACAGCCTTATTCTAAAATTGATGGAAAAAAAATGTTTCCTCATCAATCTACACACAATACCCCATAATGACAAAGCGAAAACAGTATTATTATTTTTTGCAAATGTATATAAATAAAAAAAAGATACCTTATTTACGTAAGTATTCAGACCCTTTGCTATGAGACTCGAAATTGAGCTCAGGTGCATCCTGTTTACATTGATCATCCTTGAGATGTTTCTACAGTCCACCTGTGGTAAATTCTATTGATTGGACATGATTTGGAATGGCACACACCTGTCTATATAAGGTCCCACAGTTGACAGTGCATGTCAGAGCAAAAACCAAGCCATGTGGTCGAAGGAATTGTCCGTAGAGCTCCGAGACAGGATTGTGTTGAGGCACAGATCTGGGGAAGGGTACCAAAACATTTCTGCAGCATTGACGGTCCCCAAGAACACAGTGGTCTCCATCATTCTTAAGTTTGGAACCACCAAGACTCTTCCTAGAGCTGGCTGCCCGGCCAAACTGAGCAATCGGGGAGAAGGGCCTTGGTCAGAGAGGTGACCAAGAATCCGATGGTCACTCTGACAGAGCTCCAGTTCCTCTGTGGAGATGGGAGAACCTTCCAGAAGGACAACCATCTCAGCAGCACTCCACCAATAAGGCCTTTATAGTAGAGTGGCACTGTAGATAACATACTCTAAATATGATCTTGTTGCTTGTTTAATGTCCTAAAAAACTCCCACTGTCACTAGCTTAATAAAATCATGTGGTTTTTACAGTGTTTATAAATACAGAGCAATTGTGTGAGTTTTACAGTGAATATAGGCCTACCGTCTATGCACTCGAATGGCCGAGACACACTTCCCGTGGTTACTTTGTTTACTGTCACGTAAAACACTGCCAATTGCGCAAAAATTAGAGTTGAGAAATAAATCAAACAGCACTGGAAAGCTGGGATCCCGCTCTTTTCAATATTTGCCATCAAAACTGTTGTTTTTTCCAAGATTGCATTTAGGAATGTTGCTCAGTGACTGGGCTTATTAGAACACATGAGGAGTTGCGGGCTCTTGCCACCCGACAGTTGATATTCCACTTATAAATAAACAACATACAGTGAGGGAAAAAAGTATTTGATCCCCTGCTGATTTTGTACATTTGCCCACTGACAAAGAAATGATCAGTCTATAATTTTAATGGTAGGTTTATTTGAACAGTGAGAGACAGAATAACAACAAAAAAATCCAGAAAAACGTCAAAAATGTTATGAATTGATTTGCATTTTAATGAGGGAAATAAGTATTTGACCCCCTCTCAATCAGAAAGATTTCTGGCTCCCAGGTGTCTTTTATACAGGTAACGAGCTGAGATTAGGAGCACACTCTTAAAAGGGAGTGCTCCTAATCTCAGCTTGTTACCTGTATAAAAGACACCTGTCCACAGAAGCAATCAATCAATCAGATTCCAAACTCTCCACCATGGCCAAGACCAAAGAGCTCTCCAAGGATGTCAGGGACAAGATTGTAGACCTACACAAGGCTGGAATGGGCTACAAGACCATCGCCAAGCAGCTTGGTGAGAAGGTGACAACAATTGGTGTGATTATTCGCAAATGGAAGAAACACAAAATAACTGTCAATCTGCCTCAGCCTGGGGCTCCATGCAAGATCTCACCTCGTGGAGTTGCAATGATCATGAGAACGGTGAGGAATCAGCCCAGAACTACACAGGAGGATCTTGTCAATGATCTCAAGGCAGCTGGGACCATAGTCACCAAGAAAACAATTGGTAACACACTACGCCGTGAAGGACTGAAATCCTGCAGCGCCCGCAAGGTCCCCCAGCTCAAGAAAGCACATATACAGGCCCGTCTGAAGTTTGCCATTGAACATCTGAATGATTCAGAGGAGAACTGGGGGAAAGTGTTGTGGTCAGATGAGACCAAAATCGAGCTCTTTGGCATCAACTCAACTCGCCGTGTTTGGAGGTGGAGGAATGCTGCCTATGACCCCAAGAACACCATCCCCACCGTCAAACATGGAGGTGGAAACATTATGCTTTGGGGATGTTTTTCTGCTAAGGGGACAGGACAACTTCACCGCATCAAAGGGACGATGGACGGGGCCATGTACCGTCAAATCTTGGGTGAGAACCTCCTTCCCTCAGCCAGGGCATTGAAAATGGGTTGTGGATGGGTATTCCAGCATGACAATGACCCAAAACACACGGCCAAGGCAACAAAGGAGTGGCTCAAGAAGAAGCACATTAAGGTCCTGGAGTGGCCTAGCCAGTCTCCAGGCCTTAATCCCATAGAAAATCTGTGGAGGGAGCTGAAGGTTCGAGTTGCCAAACGTCAGCCTCGAAACCTTAATGACTTGGAGAAGATCTGCAAAGAGGAGTGGGACAAAATCCCTCCTGAGATGTGTGCAAACCTGGTGGCCAACTACAAGAAATGTCTGACCTCTGTGATTGCCAACAAGGGTTTTGCCACCAAGTACTAAGTCATGTTTTGCAGAGGGGTCAAATACTTATTTCCCTCATTAAAATGCAAATCAATTCATAACATTTTTGACATGCGTTTTTCTGGATTTTGTTGTTGTTATTCTGTCTCTCACTGTTCAAATAAACCTACCATTAAAATTATAGACTGATCATTTCTTTGTCAGTGGGCAAACATACAAAATCAGCAGGGGATCAAATACTTTTTTCCCCCACTGTAGCTCATTAAATGCTTCGGGAATTTATCAGTTTTTTAAAACAATTATATAGACTACAGAATAGCATTATTAGGTTACAAAAGTGATGAAATCACCAACAAGTGATTTGTGTAAATAATGTTCATGTCTTGACAAGCAAGCAGCTACATAGTATATGCCTAGGTGTACGTAAACCTTTAATTTCTAATAATGACATCGCTGTGTAGGATGTCTCATATGAAAAAAGACTGAAAAGCAGGTGGAAGACTTTTATTCTGTGATTGTGGAATGCGTGTGCCGAAGTTCAACTCTGCGGGTCTGACTCGAGTATCCAGGCCGTACTGAGGTGGGGTTCACTTAAGACTGAGGGAAAAGGCTTTGACATTCTTGCCTCCGCTTGGAAACCGAATGCTGGTTGATAACAAGTGTGAAGTGTCAGACGTTGCGAAGATTGTGAAGGATTAAATATAAATGTTCTGTTTTGGAGTTTGAAAATGTAATGGCCTTAGCGGGTCATATGAAAGCTAGATTAACTGGCACGGTGAGCTCGGCAGATGTTGCCGGGCCAATGGGCAGCTCTGAATGTTGAGCCCTGAGACAATAAATGAATTCAACCAACCTATATTGTAGAATCAGACCTGATGAATATATAATTCGATTTAGACCCTAAGAGTTAGGTCCTATCATATAGTTTTTTTATTATACATGATCGTTATGTGATATTCTTACAGTCTAGTCTAAATTAATTCATGGCGAAATCCATGGCTGATCAGTCATTATTTTCTGTTAATTTAATAGGAATATGGCTAAATGAAATCATCAGGCAGACAGAGAGCCCTGGGAGTTGGCCACTCACCGAATGAATGCCACAGAGTGGCTGTTGTCATGGAGATAAAGCGATGAAATTCAGTGGCAGGCACTGCTGAACTGTCTTAATGTCTTAAAACTAGACATTTTGTGTTTGAATGTAAGAGGTGGTGACATTGAGAGTCCATGAAAATACAGTTTAATATGAGAACAAAGGCATAAAGGAATGAGAGAGGAAATTGTGTTATCTCTTTACATTAGGTCCTAGATGTGAAAAGGTTCCATCTGTCTGTGCAGAACATGAATAGTTGTCTGATAAAAAGGCACAGTCATTAGTGGTAGTATAGGTCTAACTATTCTATGTTATTTGAGCATGTACTGGACTTCACTGTGATGATGAGTTTCCAGTGCAGGTAGCAATATTTCTCTGGAGGATAAGCCAGGCCCTATGTCAAGATTTGTAATTGGCAAAGCGATGCCTTCCTTGGCAATGCAGTGGCACTCTTGTCTAGAGCTGCTTCTGTTCTATTCTCGCTCATTTCCCTTGTGAATTGCATATTTGGTTGGAGGTGTATGCGTTTCCCCTTGGTTGAGTTGAGTTAGAGAACGCAGGCAGAGGCAGTGATGTTGGTGTGCTGTGTCTGTGCAGGTACCTGAGCCGTGTGTTTGGCATGCACCCCAAGGAGACGGCCAGGCAGCTGAGTCTGGCAGTGAAGGATGGCCTGGTGGTGGAGACTCTCACTGTGGGCTGTAAGGGCTCCAAGGCCGGCATCGAACAGGAGGGCTACTGGCTGCCTGGAGACGAGCAGGTAAGAGAGGGGTTTTACCCTGTAGTGATAACCCAAACCCCATAGGACAAGGGTGCACTCCCTGATCAACACCGCTATGGTTCAGAAGAAACATACTTAGTTTCTTACTTACTTCAAGGAATTCTGCCTTTATTAAATGTTTGTCATTTGTATTTAGTGTCTTGTGTGTATATCTGCTATGCTAGACAACTTACATGCAAACCTCACCGGCCACGTTGCGTGCGCAAGCGTTGCAAAATAAATGTACACATACATGTTATTCAATCATTTCACCCACACCGCTCGTGTGAACGAGCGTCTGCGTAGCTAAGCGCTAAAATATAACTTAATTCTATTTGAGACGCTCCACACGTTGCAAGTCCCCTCCTTATTGGATATCAGAAAGATACAAACCCACGTGGATGCTTGAAAGACAAATGAGGAGAGATTAATTAAAGATCACTAACTAAAAACAAACTAGTTTTCCCTTTTTATCTGTGGATTAATCGTCTGAGTAGAGAAACACACGATTTTGTATGACTCCGGGTCAAAATTCTACAAAGATCCAGCAAAAAAAAGGACCATATACAGTACCAGTCAAAAGTTTGGACACATTACTCATTCAAGGCTTTTTCTTTATTTTTACTATTTTCTACATAGTAGAATAATAGTGAAGATATCAAAACTATGAAATAACACATATGGAATCATGTATTAACCAAAAAAGTGTTAAACAAATCAAAATATATATTTTATTTGAGATTCTTCAAATAGCCACCCTTTGCCTTGATGACAGCTTTGCACACTCTTGGCATTCTCTCAACCAGCTTCACCTGGAATGCTTTTCCAACTGTCTTGAAGGAGTTCCCACATATGCTGAGCACTTGTTGGCTGCTTTTCCTTCACTCTGCCGTCCGACTCATCCTAAACATCTGAATTGGGTTGAGGTCGGGGATTGTGGAGGCCATGTCATCTGATGCAGCACTCCATCACTTTCCTTCTTGGTAAAGTAGCCCTTACACAGCCTGGAGATGTGTTATGGGTCATTGTCCTGTTGAAAAACAAATGATAGTCCCACTAAGGCCAAACCAGATGGGATGGCGTATCGCTGCAGAATGCTGTGGTAGCCATGCTGGTTAAGTGTGCCTTGAATTCTAAATAAATCACAGACAGTGTCACCAGCAAAGCACCCCCACACCATAACACCTCCTCCTCCATGCTTTACAGTGGGAAATTCACATGCAGAGATAATCCGTTCACCCACACCGCGTCTCACAAAGACACGGCGGTTGGAACCAAAAATCTCCAATTTACACCGGTCTAATGTCCATTGCTCGTGTTTCTTGGCCCAAGCAGGTCTGTTCTTCTTATTGGTGTCCTTTAGTAGTGGTTTCTTTGCAGCAATTCGACCATGAAGGCCTGGATCACACAGTGCCCTCTGAACAGTTGATGTTGAGATGTGTCTGTGACTTTACAGTGAGGAAAAACAAGTATTTGATCCCCTGCTGATTTTGTACGTTTGCCCACTGACAAAGAAATGATCAGTCTATAATTTTAATGGTAGGTTTATTTGAACAGTGAGAGACAGAATAACAACAAAAAAATCCAGAAAAACGCATGTCAAAAATGTTATAAATTGATTTGCATTTTAATGAGGGAAATAAGTATTTGACCCCCTCTCAATCAGAAAGATTTCTGGCTCCCAGGTGTCTTTTATATAGGTAACGAGTTGAGATTAGGAGCACACTCTTAAAGGGAGTGCTCCTAATCTCAGCTTGTTACCTGTATAAAAGACACCTGTCCACAGAAGCAATCAATCAATCAGATTCCAAACTCTCCACCATGTCCAAGACCAAAGAGCTCTCCAAGGATGTCAGGGACAAGATTGTAGACCTACACAAGGCTGGAATGGGCTACAAGACCATCGCCAAGCAGCTTGGTGAGAAGGTGACAACAGTTGGTGTGATTATTCACAAATGGAAGAAACACAAAAGCACTGTCAATCTCCCTCGGCCTGGGGCTCCATGCAAGATCTCACCTCGTGGAGTTGCAATGATCATGAGAACGGTGAGGAATCAGCCCAGAACTACACGGGAGGATCTTGTCAATGATCTCAAGGCAGCTGGGACCATAGTCACCAAGAAAACAATTGGTAAGACACTACGCCGTGAAGGACTGAAATCCTGCAGCGAATGCAAGGTCCCCCTGCTCAAGAAAGCACATATACATGCCCGTCTGAAATTTGCCAATGAACATCTGAATAATTCAGAGGAGAACTGGGTGAAAGTGTTGTGGTCAGATGAGGCCAAAATGGAGCTCTTTGGCATCAACTCAACTCGCCGTGTTTGGAGGAGGTGGAATGCTGCCTATGACCTGTGGAGGGAGCTGAAGGTTCGAGTTGCCAAACGTCAGGCTCGAAACCTTAATGACTTGGAGAAGATCTGCAAAGAGGAGTGGGATAAAATCCCTCCAGAGATGTGTGCAAACCTGGTGGCCAACTATAAGAAACGTCTGACCTCTGTGATTGCCAACAAGGGTTTTGCCACCAAGTACTAAGTCATGTTTTGCAGAGGGGTCAAATACTTATTTCCCTCATTAAAATGCAAATCAATTCATAACATTTTTGACATGCGTTTTTCTGGATTTCGTTGTTGTTATTCAGTCTCTCACTGTTCAAATAAACCTACCATTAAAATTATAGGCTGATCATTTCTTTGTCAGTGGGCAAACATACAAAATCAGCAGGGGATCAAATACTTTTTTCCCTCACTGTATTTGTGCTGCAATTTCTGAGGCTGGTAACTCTAATGAACTTATCCTCTGCAGCAGAGGTAACTCTGGGTCTTTCAGTCGTGTGGCGGTCCTCATGAGAGCCAGTTTCATCATAGCGCTTGATGGTTTTTGCGACTGTACTTGAAGAAACTTTCAAAGTTCTTGAAATGTTCTGAATTGACTGACCTTCATGTCTTAAAGTAATGATGGACTGTCGTTTCTCTTTGCTTATTTGAGCTGTTCTTGACATAATATGGACTTGGTCTTTTACCAAATAGGGCTATCTTCTGTATACCCCCCCTACCTTGTCACAACACAATTGATTGGCTCAAACACATTAAGAAGGAAAGAAATTCCACAACTTTTAACAAGGCACACCTGTTAATTTAAATGCATTCCAGGTGACTACCTCATGAAACTGGTTGAGAGAATGCCAAGAGTGTGCAAAGCTGTCATCAAGGCAAAGGGTGGCTATTTGAAGAATCTCAAATATAAAATATATTTTGATTTGTTTAACCCTTTTTCTTTGGTTACTACATGATTCCATATGTGTTATTTCATAGTTTTGATGTCTTCACTATTATTCTACAATGTAGAACATTTTAAAAATAAAGAAAAACCCTTGAATGAGTAGGTGTGTCCAAACTTTTGACTGGTAGTGTACATACATTTCAAATAAAATCCAATATTCATCTCCCAGGACAAATTAGCTAGCAATAGCAAGCTAGCTTAATGACCATGAATTTTTTCATGTGTGTTTTGACATGCCCCCAAATTGATATTGTTGGTTCACAGTTGGTTTTGATATTTTAACCTGCGTGTCATGATCAACATGCGCAACAAAAATCAACATGCGCACGATGGTGCATGAAGATGCACGCGCGTGGCCTGTGTAGTCAGCATGTTAGTTATATATCAGTCATTCAGAGGTGCTATGAACTATCAGCATTGATTATAATGACCTGGTGATTCAAGTCATGCTGATATTTTTCAAACGTTTATGTGAAGCTGACTCATTAGTCATAGGTATGACCATGCACACATTCCTTTAGTACTGTAGCTCTGCTATACACCAAACACACTGAACCCACACAGTACAGTCAACACTAGCTCTGCTCTTAGGCTGCGTTTAGACAGGCAGCCCAATTATGATATTTTTTCCACTCATTTATCTTTTGACCATTCACATCAGATCTTTTCACATCAGGTGAAAAGACCAATGAATGAAAAAAAGATCAGAATTGGGCTGCCTGTCTAAACAGCCAAAGATAGCTCAATTGACTGTAGCAGCAGGACTTTAAACATTGCTTTCTGGATCACTTGCAATCACACAGGAGCCCAATGCTGAAGGAAACAAGGTAAGGGTGCATCGTTGTTTTTTATTTTGGTTTGATTTGTTCTGCTTTTATCTCTATAATTTATTTTACTAACATCATCTCGCAAACAAATCACTTTGGCCACTTGCAGCGCAATCTTGGATTTTATGGAATCTTTACAGAGCATACTCTATAATAGAAAATCTGACGAACAGCAGCGGCATCAGTTTGGATTAAGATGTCATATGAAAACAATAGACTAATTGAATTATATTAACTGTAAAAAAAAAATATATAAAAAAAAATATTTTCATTTGTAATGGTAAGACAATTTATGTCACACCCAGTAGTTTTAACATGAGAAGATGCTGATATTCCATGGTAAAAGCTTCCAGAAAGCCCATTGTAGCGCTGTCTCTCGGTGGCCCAATTTCTTGTGGAATCGATCAAAGTGACTTCCTTTAAATATTTGCTCGCTACTTATCTACACATGTAACGTTGCTTTAAAAATAGCTATATGGAAAAAATCTAATAAACATTGCCAGGGTTAAATACAGTGAAGGCTGTATATTCTCCATGGCTTTGTTTGACACATACAGTACTTCAAATAAATCTCCAGAGAGAATCTCTTAAAAGTTTCAGAATCATAGTAGTACATTTCAATGTAATGTCTTTTAAGTGACATGACAAGCAATGCCAACATAGCCGCAGGTTTGTAGCAAGCATATATGATGAGTGTGAGTAGTAGATGTAGTTTTGCTGATGGTGGTAGTAGTAGTAACTCCTCAGGGAGGGTGTGTAGCTTCATTCCTCTGTGTGTTACTGTTATGATCTCTGTGTTTCCGGCATGTGTTTGGTTTGATGAACAGGGGGTGTGGTGGTGTGTGACGTCATCTAGTTGTCTATACTATGTCTGCGTCCCAAATAGTAGAGCACTATATAGGGAATAGGATGCCATTTGGGACGCAGTCTTATATATGCCTGACTGATTTCATAGGTCAGGGTCTCTGATTTAGTGTGTATCATGGGAAGCATGGCGAAGCAATTACAGTACATTATGAAGTTCCATCCCCTCAGGCGCCTGGAATCAATCCAACTGTCATGTGTGTGGGGGTTATGGTTAGTGTCATGTTGAGGACGCGCAGGCCCGGTGGCTGGATAAAGTGACTAAGGGGGCATTTTAAATCGGCAAGGGGGGCACCATTTTTTGAATGAAAGGATAGATGGGGTAATTCACCTATTACAAACAGCCTATGTTAATGAAGCGGTACACACAGCTGTCTTTAAAAAATCATGCTAATAAATAGGCCTATAGACCCGCTTCGAACATGGAATTCATGAGTTCAGCAACACATTGTGATATGGCACAATACACTTCTGTGTGTCAAATTCAACCAACGTAATTAGTTAAGCAATGCCAGCCTACCATAAACACGTTTCCAATATGTACAGTTCCATTTACAACCACGGAAAGCAATACGCAACCAAGAAAACCATAGAAATAGAATGTATCTATTTCTATGATGAAACATACCGATATGTAGCTATACCCAGGAGCATCATTTGGGTTCTTGTATTGGAATATTACATTCTGCTTAAATCACGCTATATCATGTATATCACGCTATATCATGATACACATAAAAGTTAAAATGCCGAGACCATTGAGTGCTTTTGAAATGACAGATTGGTGCGAAATCTGTATCTCCACTGCACTGTATCAGCACCATGGACAGCACCCTACACACTAGGGCTGGGCGGTATACCGTATTTTACTATATACCGGTATTGACACACAGACTGGTTTGGATTTTTACTTGACCTTCTATAACGGTATTTGAAAGTTTTGGTTTGATAAATGTGATACGCCGTGTGTAATTACCATTTTTATAGTTTACTTCCCTACTTGAGTCATCGCTCTCCGCTCCCTCTCTTTTCATGCCGCTTTCCACACAGACCTAGCTCCGCCCCCTGTCATTCAAGGAGCGCATTTGTTGTACCTCGACCACGAGACACTTGCGTTCAGTCTACATGGTCAATGCAGCGAATGCAAAAATGTTGATGACAAAGATGCTGTTTTCACTTTGCTTCTTAATGTAAATCCACTAGCATTCTATAATTACACTATTAGTTTGTGTTTACATCTGGAAACAACTAGTTTGTATTTTCTAAGCAAGTTGGGCCTATATCTTGTTAGCCGTTAATGCTAATCACTAGTTAGCTGGTAAGCTAGCTCAAATCAAATCAAAATCTGGCAAACATATAATTAGCTATACAGCCTGATAATACCAGTGATGGTGTAGACCTAAATCAGCATGTTGTTTGTGCAACAGTATCTTCTAAATCAAAGAGGAATACGCGAAGCATGAATATGTTAGCGACATGAAGTAGCAAAGAGAAAACAGTCAATGTAGCCAAAGATTATAGGGTCACCTAGGAAACACCTATCAACACTTTGGTTCCTACCCTGTCACAATAACTCCTCCCTGGCATTTTCATTCGTTGTCATGTCAAACAACACTGTATTCAAAGTAGGGTTTAATATTTTCATAGTATTTTACAAATGTTCCATCCCGAGAATAAATCACTTTTCTCTTGGGTAACCCGGTATTTCCCGCCAAAACCGGAAGTGTCATTCAAGCATTATCAAGTGTATAAATAGGCCTATGTCTGGAGTTGATTAGATCTTTGATCAAAAATTCAAGCCTGATGCTACCAGAGCCTGATTAGCCATACATTAAATACATTTTATGAGCCCTACATTAAAGACATTTATTGAGCCCAAGCGCAAAAAAGCCCAAATGATTGTGTCATTATCCAATACATAGATGATATAGGCTACCTCACATTACGCACGACAGAAAAACATAAAAGCCCATAGATGTAGCTAGCTATATGCTCTCTTGGGTAAGGACATTAAACTACCTTCAGTAGGCTAATCTTTTTGCGCGTGAACTGTATTACTGTACTGTTTTGTATTATACTGTATTATATGGACTGGAATTGCGCACATCGTTCAAACCATGATAAAGCAGGGAGATAACATGCGATTCTGGTGCAGCACATGCGGCCTACAAAGTTACAAGAATAGGCTAGCGAACTTGATTTTAATTTTGAAATATAATAGGGCCTATTTGTATAATTAGTAGGCTGACGCATATATATCTTTCATAATATTTCCCCTAATGTTATTAGCCTACCTCCTCTTTCTATCTAGTGTTGCTTCATTCCTTCCTCGCTTTATTTTCAACAGTTAAATGAAATACATTTTGTTGTCCTTATCTTCATCATTCTAATGACATCATTGAATAGTATAAGAATATAATTAGATGCAGAAGGCTTTCACTTCTCTTCATGAAGATTGAATGGTTATGGGACTGAATAAATAATTGCTATAGCCTACCGCCATCGCACGTTCGCTCTTCTTTCAAACTACTCGTGAGTCCTACTGGCTGCTGTATTTAACATTCAGCAAAAAAGAGCTTGCATCCGTCTTTGAATAGTCTATTGGTATAGTAAATGCTAAAAAAATGATGTCCCGCAAGCTATTCTAGTCTAGCTTTTCCTGCATGGGGACTCCCAAGAGCTAAGGAGCATTTTCTAAGGAGAGGCCAGTGGAGCGCAGGTGCGTGCGTATTGTTTAAGAGACAGAGTCTACAAGTTAGAAGCTTGTTATGCATAACCCATCAATAATTAGCTAAATATAAGGCTAATACTGCATTGAATGTATTACCTGAAAGAGGTAGGCTAGGACAACTATATATAGGGCTACATCTCAATCTAGGACAGGATTATCTATACTGAACAAAAATATAAAGGCAACAATTTCAAAGATTTTACTGAGTTACAGTTCATATGAGGAAATGAGTCAATTGAAATAAATTCATTAGGCCATAGCATAATATATGGATTTCACATGACTGGGAATACAGATATTCATATGTTGGTCACATATACCTTTAAAAATAATGGGCCTCACAATGGGTATCAGGATCTCGTCACTGTATTTTTGTGCATTCAAATGGCCAAATTGCAATTGTGTTCGTTGTCCGTAGTTTATGCCTGCCCATACCATAACCCCACCGCGGGGCACTCTGTTCACAACGTTGGCATCAGCAAACCGCTCGCCCACACAATGCCATCCATATGGTCTGCTGTTGTGAGGCCGGTTGGATACACTGCCAAATTCTCTAAAACGACGTTGGAGGTGGCTTTTGGTAGAGAAATGAACATTAAATTATCTGGCAACAGCTCTGGTGGACATTCCTGCAGTCAGCATGCCAATTGCATGCTCCCTCAAAACTTCAGATATCTGTGGCATTGTGTTTGACAAAATTGCACATTTTAGAGTGGCTTTTTATTGTCCCCAATACAAGGTCCACCTGTGTAATGATCATGCTGTTTAATCAGCTTCTTGATATGCTACACCTGTCAGGTGGATGGATTATCTTGGCAAAGGAGAAATGCTCACTAAGCTTTTCTGGGATCTTTTATTTCATGAAACATGGGACTAACACTTTACGTGGTGCATTTATAATGTTGTTCAGTGCCTTCGGAAAGTGTTCAGACCCCTTGACTTTTTCCACATTTTGTTACGTTACAGCCTTATTCTAAAATACATAAAATAAAAAATACAATCCTCATCAGTCTACACACAATACTCCATAATGACTAGGTCTCACCTGGAAAGAGATGTCTAAAATAGCCCTGGGCCCAGTTTCCCGATAGCGATGTTTCTTAGGCTTACGAGTATTTTAACGATGCATCTTTCCTACAAAGTGTACACATACATGTTATTCAATCATTGCACCCACACTGCTCGCGCGTCAACGACCATCTGCGTAGCCAGGGGCTAAAATAGAACTTTGTTCTATTTGTGACGCTTGACGCACTGCAAGTCCCGCCTCTCCTCATTGGTTTTTAGGAGCATATACCCACGTGGGTGATTGAAAGATGAACTGAGGTCCACACTCCAGTCCAGTTGGTGGTGGTAATGCACCTTAAAGTTGGTTGCCAACCTCCATATAAAGTCAGTAGAAGAAGTCTGAAGGAGGAGAGATTACTAGAAACGAACTCGGTTTACCCTTTTATCTGTGGATTAATTGTCGGAGTAAAGGACCTTGTGCATTTCAGGTAAAATAGCAACCCAATGTTTATATTCCAGGACAAATTAGCTAGCAACAGCAAGCTAGCTAAATTGCCATAAATGTTTAATGCTTTTCGACCTGTCCCCAAATTAATATAGTTGGTTCAGAGTTTGTTTTGATATTTCAACCTGCGTGTCCTGATCGCGTCTGGTGTGTGTGGACAAAATCAACATGCGCACGATGGCGGACGCAAGCGCGCACCCGGTCTAGTCAACATGTTAGATTACGAGTGTTTTAAAGTGCAACGGTAATAATAGTGGTTTTGGGAAACAGCTCTGGGATTTAACGATGCTCCTACGAAGGTTCTAACGATGAATTTAGCCTTTGAAGATGCTTTTGGGAAACCGGGCCCTGGACAGGAAGAGATGGAGGGAGCTTGTGGAGGCCTTGGTGGGATGAGTCCTAACTGAAAATGTATTGCCTCTGGCAGAACTGGTTTTACATCAGGCTCTCATAGCCCACTAGGCTGGCAGTGGCACTGCTGTCGACTGTCGGTCTGTCCTCTCTGCTTTGTCCTTTATGACTTTTTATGGCTGTGTGTTAGTTTGTGCTCCTCCTCTCTGCTCCCGTGTGATGGAGTGCTCTCCCAGCTCACTAGGTTTAAATAGATAATGTGTTGGAGGGAAGGACACAAGGATTCTGCACTGATGGGGTGTAGTACGTTAGTTTGTCCTGTGGTTTCCTTCATCTGAAAGAAAGGGTTTTGTGGGGAGGTGTAGGCTAGTTTTTGACATGTTGCAATATAACACAGTCCTTGTTGACTTCTACTCCAGACTGTGTGGAGGAGGGGTATGACTCATGGTTGTTGGGTTGAATCTCAGGCAGGCAGGTGGTTTCTAGCTCTATGCCCCTTAGTGAAACCTGAAACAACACTATAGTAAATCATGAGTAATGCTTTGAGCAGCAGGTTCAGGTTTGCAGGAATTTGCCCCACCCTTCCCTAGCTTCCATCAGCCTTTCATGCATGCACGACCACATCAGGATTTTATAGTAACTTTGTGTGCGTCCTAAATGGCACCCTATGCCCTTCATAGTGCACTACTTTTGACCAGGGCACTACATAGGGAATAGGGTGCCATTTGGGACGCACACTTCCTCTAGCCATGACTAATTACCTTCCAGTAAGCCAATGTTTCAGCGATGGTCACACATTAGCCTTGGGCCTATATACTCTCAGCCTAAAGATTGCTCTTTGAATCATTGGCTTGCACAGGGGTTATGGTACACAATCCACTGTGCACACACACACACACACACACTGTTTATTTGATAGTTGATTAATCATTGATGGGGGTGTTTAATTGCAGACGGAGAGGGAGCCGCCGGAGGAGGTCAGTCAGAATTCACTAACTAAACATTAAATAACTGTTGTGAGATGTTTGTAAAGGCTCCCTGTAAAAACTTGTGATTTTCTTATATATTTTAAATTGTATTTAACCTTTATTTATCCAGGAAGTCCCATTGAGGTCAGAAGACCTATTTTCCAAGGGAGACATAGATATATATGATACATTTCTTTGTATATATTAGAACTGAAAAGTTCCAGTGATGTGCCTTTGCCAAGCCCCAGCAGAGGTGTGTGTTGTGGAGCAGCTGGTGTGGTGGGGCCAGGAGTCTGGCTGGGGGTGTGGTCCAGCCTCTAGATTGGGGACAGCCTTGCCGGCAGGTCAGGTCGGTGCGGAGGGGGGGCACCGACCACTGTGCTCTGTCTGTTTCAGGAATGGGAGGCGGAGAGCCACGACTGGTACTGCTTTGAGTGCCACCTGCCCGGAGACGTGCTTGTGTGCGACAACTGCTTCCGTGTCTATCACCTAAAATGCCTGTCGGATGAATACAAGCCCCGGGACAGCGGATCCCACTGGCAGTGTGTGGTGTGCAGGGTATGTACTCCTATAGGCGGCAGGAAGCCTAGCGGTTAGAGTGTTGGGCCAGTAACCGAAAATTAGCTGGTTGGAATACCCGAGGAGAAAAATCTGTCTGTGCCCTTAAGCAAAGCACTTAACCCTACTTTGCTCCTGTGGCGCCGTACTACTATGGCTGACCCTGGAAAACAACACATTTCACTGCACCTATCTGATGTATGTGACAATAAAACATATTATATACACAGTCAGTTGTAATCTACTGCTAGCTCCACGTGGTTTGAATAGAGAGCTGGATGGGTTACAGAGTCTTACTGACCTTTCTCTCTCTCTCTCTCTGTCATGTGAATTTCTATCTCTAATTCAACCTAAGCTTGAATCATTACCAGAGGTTGTAAGGCTCTGGTTTTAATCATCAATGATTCAAGGTCCACAACCCACAAGTATTTATCTGTATATTTATTCATGGAGAGCTCTCCCGCCAAAGACACAAACATACGATTTTATACCTCCTGGACTTGACTCCTCCCACCTTTAGGTGGGTTTTCTAAACAGTTTCCGCCTTCCCCTTCACCCTTGAATGTTTAGTACCGCCCCCTCTGTTAGTGGGTTGACACTACATGATAATTCTAACATTTATACTGTATTTGGGGTGAAATCCTTTAGTCATTATTCTTAAAATCCAAATTAATCTAACACTCTCTCTCTCTGCAGGGTAGTAAAAAGAAGAACCTGAACAAGCAGGAGATGTGCAAATACCTGCGATTTATCATTCAGCGCATGAAAGAGAGGGTGAGTGTTAGTTTTGTGTTCAGCGTAGGTATGCAGGACCAGGCTGTGGCACTGGCTGCATCCCAAATGGTGCCCTATTCCCTATATAGTGCAATTCTTTTGACCAGCCCTCCTATAGGGCTCTGAGGGTGCCATTTGGAACGCAACCACTGTATTGAATCAGAGCTCTGCCATGTTTTATTCCACTTTAAATCAAGGCCAGTCAAAGTCCCACCACAATGGCTTTGGTTGATTCCAGCTCCCCTCCTCCTCTTCGCCCATAAATCGTACTATTTCTCTCCTGGCACTGCAGGCTGTGGACCTGAACAAGAAAGGCAAAGACACTCAACACCCGATGTACAGGAGGCTCATCCACACCACGCTGGACGTCACCAACATTCAGGAGGTAACTGGCCGCAATACACTGCTGAACACAATGGCACCCTATTTCCTATGTAGCGCATTACCTTTGACAAAAGTAGTGCACTGTATAGGGAATAGGGTGCTATTTGGGACTCAGCCCATGTTGTTTGGTGAGGGACTGTGTAAGGGCACGTCAGATGTAGCCCCAGTATAAAGCTGTGATTGTGTAGCTGAGGCTACAGGCTATCAGATTGCCTCTCCTCACAGCGAGGGGGTCAGTGAGGTCTCCTCTGCACCGTGACCACTGGTAGTTCCCGCCAGCCAAGCCATGCCTGCCAAATAGGCTGGGAAACAGCACAGCGCTCCCTGACACTGTCCCAGGGTAGTATTCATTAGTGCACACTGTAGCAAAACGTTCAGCTCAGTCCCTCCCTGTTCCAGTCGGTTTTCCTCTGTTTGATGCCTAGTGAATACGACCCAGGCCTCTGGATAGGCTGGAAAACAGCATAGCGCCTCTCTGGCTTGGGTCTCGGTCTCTGGATCTGTGGTGCACTGCCCTCCTCTGGTCTCTTATGGTACTGCAACCGCACAACACAGCCCCCTCTGCTTCCCTACCTAGTGGGAATGAATAGTCCTCTTTGTGTTCTCTGTCTCTGTGTTGCAGAACCTCACCGAGGGGAAATACAAGAGCTTTGACGAGTTCAAGGCAGATGCCCAGCTGATCGTGCACAACACCGCCATCTTGTTTGGAGGTGGGGGGCATTCACAACCAGGCTGTTATTATGGGATGCGTCCCAAATGGCATCCTATTCCCTTCATAGTGCACTACTTTTGACCAAGGACCAAAGAGCTCTGGTCTACAGTAGTGCACTATATAGGGAATAATGTGCCATTTGGGACACATCCGTGAAGAGCATGTTTTGCTATCAGATTTCCCTCCTACTATTATTAATTGCAGCTTTGAAATAAGACCATATAAACTCAGCAAAAAAAGAAACGTCCTCACTGTCAACTGCGTTTATTTTCAGCAAAATTAACATGTGTAAATATTTGTATGAACATATAAGATTCAACAACTGAGACATAAACTGAACAAGTTCCACAGACATGTGGGCGGCAGGTAGCTTAGTGGTTAAGAGCGTTGTGCCAGTAACCGAAAGGTCGCTGGTTCTAATCCCCGAGCCAAGTAGGTGAAAAATCTGTCAATGTGCCCTTGAGCAAGGCACTTAACCCTAATTGCTCCTGTAAGTCGCTCTGGATAAGAGTGTCTGCTAAATGACATAAATGTAAATGTAACAGAAATTGATTAATGTGTCCCTGAACAAAGGGGGGGTCAAAATCAAAAGTAACAGTCAGTATCTGGTGTGGCCACCAGCTGCATTAAGTACTGCAGTGCATCTCCTCCTCATGGACGGCACCAGATTTGCCAGTTCTTGCTGTGAGATGTTACCCCACTTTTCCACCAAGGCACCTGCCTTGGGTGGAATGGCCCTAGCCCTTCTTTTTTTGCAGAGTTTAGTAGTTGTGGCAGAAATGTAATTTTAAAGAAGCAAAGTCTGATTATCTACCAAAAAATGCAAAGGACCATGGCTCTATGTAGTTAGTTAAAATTGTTTATTGTGATGGCATGTTTAATGGAACAAAATCTTTACAATGTACACTATGTTCAAAAGTTTGGGGTCACTTAGAAATGTCCTTGTTTCCAAAAGAAAAGCAATTTTTTTGTCCATTAAAATAACATCAAATTGATCAGAAATACAGTGTAGACATTGTTAATGTTGTAAATGGCTATTGTAGCTGGAAACGGCTGATTTTTAATGGAATATCTACATAGGCGTACAGAGGCCCATTATCAGCAACCATCAGTCCTGTGTTCCAATGGCACGTTGTGTTTGCTAATCCAAGTTTATTATTTTAAAAGGCTAATTGATCATTAGAAAACCCTTTTGCAATTATGTTAGCACAGCTGAAAACTGTTGTGCTGATTAAAGAAGCAATAAAACTGGCCTTCTTGAGACTAGTTGAGTATTTGGAGCATCAGCAATTGTGGGTTTGATTACAGGCTCAAAATGGCCAGAAACTAAGAACTTTCTACTAAAACTCGTCAGTCTATTCTTGTTCTGTGAAATGAAGGCTATTCCATGCGAGAAATTGCCAATTGTACAACGCTGTGTACTCCCTTCACAGGACTGATGGTTGCTGATAATGGGCCTCTGTACACCTATGTAGATATTCCATAAAAAATCAGCTGTTTCCAGCTACAATAGCCATTTACAACATTAACAATGTCTACACTGTATTTCTGATCAATTTGATGTTATTTTAATGGTAAAATTTGTTGCTTTTCTTTCGAAAACAAGGACATTTCTAAGTGACCCCAAACTTTTGAACGGTACTGTACTTACATTTGCCATTTGAGTCATTTAGCAGACGCTCTTATCCAGAGCGACTTACAGTTAGTGAATGCATACATTTTTCATACTTCAATGTTATTTTCCCAACATTAACGAAACCTGTTTTTGTTGCAGTTCATAGTGACCAGGCTGAAATAGCGCGGTTGCTCTACAGTGACACATGCCATGAGGTAAACTGTTGTTGTTTTTTCTGCCATAAATATGACAGATTTGTATTGTAGTATTCTAGGTGGTTGTGTTGAGTGGCAGGGCAGCTGTTCTCTCTGTATCTCTTCCTCATTCGCTTCATCTATCTCTCTCTCCAGTTAAATGAGTTGATACTGTGTAAGAACTGTTTCTACCTGTCCAACGCTCGCCCTGACAACTGGTTCTGCTACCCCTGTGTGAGTATGAAACTGTCTTGACTTCAATGCTCCTGGGGAATTGATTGTTTAAATGATCAAGATATCAACTAAATGTAATATTGGCCATAATGTTAGGGCTATGTCTGAAGCACCACTATAGCCCCAATAGAATTGCCCTAAGGAGACAAATAATGTTGATTGAATTGTATCCGTGTATTATCTAGTGTTGTTTGCTGTGCCCTGTGTGCTGATCTGTGGTTGTGGTGGTTGTTGCAGACTCCTAATCACGAGGTGGTGTGGGCTAAGATGAAGGGCTTTGGCTACTGGCCGGCCAAGGTCCTGCAGAGAGAGGACAATCAGGTGGACGTCCGCTTCTTTGGCCACCAGCACCAGAGGTCAGCCATCACACTGATACAGAGGCTGCTTCCCAAATGGCACTCTATTCCCTATACAGTGCACTACCTACAACCAAAAGTTAATCAAAAGGAGTGCACTATATAGGGAATAAGGTGCTAGAACTCTGAACATGTTTCCCACCAGAGGTCAGCCATCACACTCATACTGATAGACATGGCATAGTTATCATGCCACTGCATACACAACAGCTTTATCACTAGGACACAAGTTCTCTCGACCTGAGGACCAACTGTATTGACAGACAGAGCGGCGGATATATCATAGTGGATCATTTAAAACATTCGATCCCCTAGAATTTCTTGTCTGTACACTATAATTTCTAGCCGGACGACTCACACTAAATTATTCCGCTGCTCTGTTGTTCGCTACGTACAGTTGAAGTCGGAAGTTTACATACGCTTAGGTTGGAGTCATTAAAACTTGTTTTTCAACCACTCCACACATTTCTTGTTAACAAACTATAGTTTTTCCAACAATTGTTTACAGTCAGATTATTTCACTTATAATTCACTGTATGACAATTCCAGTGGGTCAAAAGTTTACATACACTAAGTTGACTGTGCCTTTAAACAGCTTGGAAAATTCCAGAAAATGATGTCATGGCTTTAGAAGCTTCTGATAGGCTAATTGACATCATTTGAGTCAATTGGAGCTGTACCTGTGGATGTATTTCAAGGCCTACCTTCAAACTCGGTGCCTCTTTGCTTGACATCATGGGAAAATCAAAAGAAATCAGCCAAGACCTCAGACAAAAAATTGTAGACATCCTTGGGAGCAATTTCCAAACGCCTGAAGGTACCACGTTCATCTGTACAAACAATAGTACGCAAGTATAAACACCATGGGACCACGCAGCCGTCATACCGCTCAGGAAGGAGACACGTTCTGTCTCCTAGAGTTGAACATACTTTGGTGTGAAAAGTGCAAATCAATCCCAGAACAACAGCAAAGGACCTTGTGAAGATGCTGGAGAACGGACAAAGTTTATATCCCAGTAAAACGCCTATAGGGACATAACCTGAAAGCCGTAGCAAGAATACCCTTCTCCAAAACGCCATAAAAAGCCAGACTACGTGCATTGGGGCAAAGATCGTACTTTTTGGGAAAGTCCTCTGGTCTGATGAACAAATAGATACGTTGGCCATAATGACCATCTGAGGAAAAGGGGGTGATGCAAACTGAGAACACCATCCCACGGAGCCAGGGTGGAAGCACAGTAGGGAGGCTTTGCGCAGGAGGGACTGTGCATCTTCACAAATAATGGCATATGAGAAGGAATTATTGAATATTGAAGCAACTCAAGACATCACGAGTTAAGCAATGGTCGCAAATGGGTTCCAAATGATGACCCAAGCATACTTGTGGCAAATGGCTTAAGGAAACAAATCAGTATGGAGTGGCCACAAAAATGTCATCCTATAGAAATTTGTGGGAAGAATGAAAAAGCTGTGCGAGAAAAAGGCCTAAACCTGACTCAGTACACAGCTCTGTCAGGAGGAATGGGCCAAAAATTGCACCCAAATTATTGTGGGAAGCTTGTGGAAGGCTACCCGAAACGTTTGATCCAAGTTCAACAATTTTCAAAGGCACTGCTTACCAGAAATACTAATTGAGTGGTATGTAAATTTCTTGACCCACTGGGAATGTGATGAAAGAAATAAAAGCTGAAAGAAATCATTCTCTCTACTATTATTCTGACATTTCACATTCTTAAAATAAAGTGGTGATCCTAACTGACCTAAGACAGGGTATTTTTACTAGGATTAAATGTCAGGAATTGTGAAACTGAGTTTAAATGTATTTGGTTAAGGTGTATGTAAACTTACGACTTCAACTGTACTTCAGTCTGAGATTGCCATCATTGAAGTCATTTGTGGTAAGGGGCGTTGTACCAAACAAAGTCATCAGAGTATCAAAGCCAATGATGAATTTTCAAACCTCCACTTTACCCACGTGTGTTCTGGCTCTGGCCCAACCCATCAGTTTCTGGACCAATCAGACGGCCCGAATGTGTTCGCATTAGGTGAAGGGTCGGGGAGGCACTCAGATCCAGACTCATTACGGAGAAGAAACTAACGTCCGTGGGCGTGGCGTAGCGTTTGGCAGGAGCAAGGAGTCTGGGTAGCCAGGCAATATTATTTCTCCTGGCTATGGAGCTTTGGGAGATTCCTTGGCTGCTCTTACTGTTGTCCCCCCTCCTCTCCCTCTTCCTCCCTCTCCTCCTTGTCCCCAGAGCATGGATCCCTGCAGACAACATCCAGGACATCAAGGTGTCGGTGCAGCAGCTTCAGGTGAAGCGCAGTGCTGGCTGGAAGAAGGCCTGTGATGAGCTGGAGTTGTCCCAGTGCTTCCAGAGGGAGGGTCGCTTCTGGAAAACCAAGATGGTGGAGAGGCTGGAGGAGAGGAGAGGAGACGGAGAGGAGAGGCTGACAGAGAGGGCGGAGGAGGCAGAGTCCTCCATCTCCTCCACCAGCAACAACAACGAGCAGGTCAAACATGTACGTATGCGTGCACTAGCCTCACACACACTCTTTCTCCCACACACACATGTACATACAGAGGTATTTTTTTATTTGCATGTTGAAAATAAACTCACTAACAGCTGCTTTGGTGTGTTTTTAGTAGGTAATTGCTCCACCTGGTGGCTGATTTAATATTACAGGTCCTGTAAGAAATTATGTTGAATTTCAATGATTTGAGAAGGTGACGATCAACACAAACACCATCTGTATTGTCATGGCTCTAGCTCTAATAGTTGCCATGGTAATGGAAACGCTTATCCAACAGAGGTGTTAGACATCTCTGATACTGCAGTTCTGTAATCCAATATGTTATGTTTCTCCACAGCAGAAAGCAGAAAGACAGGCAGACCGAGACCGTCAGCCAGACAGGCAGGAGCCTAAAGCAAAGAAGAGCCGTCGCAGTCAAGCTCCTGAGCCCAAAGAGGAAGCCAGTGTAAGTATCCCAGCACTACTGTTGGACGGTCACCTCAGCCAGTGTCTTACTATGGTATGTGTCTGAGTTTTAGGGCTTGATTTAATCCGTATCGCATATAGCGCGCTTGACATTTAAAGGTAATTTCCGATTGAGCCGACATATGCAGCGTTTACCATGAGTGCAGTCTCCGCATTGCCTTTAAAGTTAAATCGCACTGTAGCACTAAACTTTGGTGATATGGGTTGAATTGAGACCTTAATTGCGTGTGTAGGGAGATTTATGCGTGTGTGTCTGTTTCTATGTTTGTTTGCTTGTTTCTCTCTCCATCTCTAACCCCGTCCCTCTCTCCTCCAGGACCCGGAGCCTGAGATGGAGGCTGTGAGCAGCAGCCAGGAGATCCCTGTGACGACGCCCCACCAGCCAGAGAAGCTGTCTGTCTCTACGCAGACCAAGAAGGCCTCGGCCGCCTCGCCACGCACCCTGCACCGCAGCACCCAGACCACCTCTGACGGAGCCTGCCAGAACATGTGCCACGAGAAGTACACCAAGATCTTCAACGACGTCAAGGACATGATGAAGGCCGACAACAAGAGGGAGACAGAGCGCATGGTCCGAGAGGCCCTGGAGAAGGTGAGGGACTGAGGGGGTCCGAGAGGCCCTGGAGAAGGTGAGGGACTGAGGGGGTCTGAGAGGCCCTGGAGAAGGTGAGTGACTGAGGGGGTCTGAGAGGCCCTGGAGAAGGTGAGGGACTGAGGGGGTCTGAGAGGCCCTGGAGAAGGTGAGGGACTGTGGGATTGAGACAGAGTAGGACATGGAACAGTAAGACACTGAGAAAAGGAAACGAGCTAAAACACGCGAGTATACCACATGTATCAGAGTTGAGGGTCATTTTCTGTGGTGTGTGTCGCCAGTTGCGTTCTGAGATGGAGGAGGAGAAGAGGCAGGCGGTGAGCAAGGCAGTGTCGGGGGCCCAGGCTGAGATGGAGAGAAAGTGTAAGACGGTGAAGGAGAAGTGTAAGGAGGAGCTGGTGGAGGAGGTGAAGAAGATGGTGGCCCAGCACAAGCAGCTACTCTCCACCACCAAGAAGAAGCAGTGGGTGAGTGAGACCCTTCTCTTTCCCTCATTCTCTACCACACACAGCTCAATCTGTTAACACCAGTGTCTCACTCATTGAGACCTGAGGGGCTAAATCCGTAATATATTTGGACATGCACAGTTCATTCATTGTGTTTTTTAATGGATTTGTCCTACAGGAGCTAAGCACATCCTTGACCTTTTCAGATTTTTAACTCCATAACCAAAAGGCCAATACATAATTAGAGCAGTACTGGACAGAGTAAAATATAATGTATCAATTGAATATTACAATGACTGAACAAAAGCAAATTAGTTATTCGTTAATGTGGTATTCACAAATGACCTCATAGTAATGTATGGAAAAAATCCAAGCCCAAAGAGGGGCCTTTTCAGTTCTGAGTCTGACCGTGTGTGTGAATCCTCCAGTGTTATAATTGTGAGGAGGAAGCCATGTACCACTGCTGCTGGAACACCTCCTACTGCTCCATCAAGTGTCAACAGGAGCACTGGCACGCTGACCACAAACGCACCTGCCGCAGGAAGAGATGAACAGCCCAACCCCCCCCCCCCCCCAGCACGCCTTAACCATTGGCTCTCCCCGATGTCACTCACCCAACCACGGCCCTACCTGACTTCCTGAATCTTTGCGGGAAAAAAAATGCTATTTTTATTTTATTTCATTACTTTATTTAATATACCCAGTGTATTGATGTAAAAAAAAAAATATCAAGAGCATGGCTCAAATGATTATTTTCTTTATTTTTATGAAGTGCTAATTTGACCTATGTTGGAGAATGTGTTATTTAAGTGTCTAGTAACAGATGAACATTACCTGAATACATTTTATTACCTGCATTTTTTAAAATCACTTTTCTTACTGTTAATGTTTAACAATTAATATTAGTCGATCTTAAACCATAAGTACTATTGCAGCATTGAATAAGCTCTGCTTTCATACAGAAAATATTTTTTAAAATGCTGAAAAACATGAGAAACAAAATGTAATCGTGAAAAAAGTAAATGTAGATGGTCCATGAACATATTTTGGTGAATAGCACCTTTTTATTGTTTTTATCTATCATCTTCAAGTCTCTTAAACATAATTGGGAACAGGGTTATGAAGTCGGCTATAAAGATGCTGACAAAAATCTTCTGTTTGTTATTATGCACATTTTGAATATACTGTAATTTTTATGAATTAAAGAAAAAGTTCAACTTTTCTTGGGAATATATAGCAATCTTTACTGAGCTGGATCTTAGAGAGGTTCCTTCATAATTTGACAGTTTGCACATTTTAATTTCATGACCCAAATGCTTGTAATATTGCCAAAAATGACATTTGTTGAACCTTATCTTAACAGAGAAAGTGTGAGTGCTGTTTTTCCCCCCTCTTTTGTTTATTGGTTGGCGTCAGTGCCATGGTTATTGTGATGTTCACTGTAAGTACAGTTTTAGAATACTCAGTGACTAGTTATTAGACTTTTCACTGCTTATGCTGTAGTTGGTGGTCAGTGCCTGTTTTTTCAAAATCATCCTCATATTCTGAGTAAAGAGATGTGCATGTTGATAGTTTCACATTTTTATTACTAGAAAAATAACAGAAGCTTGCATAGTATCTTGGTTTCCCATTAGACAATGAATATGGATGGACCAATATAAAATATGCAAATATCAATGATCAGGCTTATCTTTTAGTACTTTTGATTTTTTCTTACTGAATGGAGTCTGAATGGTGTGCAATGTTATTATCCTTTGCTTAACTTGTCTTGGATCATTTCTTAAAGGGTAATGTAATTGCCCATTTTATTTAGAACAGAAGTACTAACCAAGAGGCTACTTGGGAAGTCAGCCATTATTGTAAGTCCATGTGACTGTTTCCTTAGTTATGAAGAGCCGACTGAACAGAGGAAAAGTCATCCCCTGCATTCATTCATTTTATTGCCTAGTTTTGGACACCCGGTTTTCAATGATGGCAACTTTCTCTCTTCCGTTAGCTCCGACAAGTGTATCACTTTTCAGAACTAACACAATTATTTGTATTCGTTAGAACACAATGACAAATAATGACGTATACGATTTCTTTCATTTTTTAAAATTTATTTTTCTCTTTCCCTGACCCATAGTCTGTTTTGTTGTTTTTCATTCAGAGAAGCAGTGTAATGTTTAGAAGTAATGAACAAACTGCCTGATTTGCCACGTTGTAATAATGTTCTCAGTTTAAACCTGATGCACTTCTTCAGGAGACTGAACAGAATCATGCATGCCCTGCACGAATGCCAGAATCTCTTTCTCTCCCGATGTTAACAAAATCAAATTCTGTTTGTCATGGTTGCACTACATGTAAATAAACTGGTTCTCTTACACCATATCATTCTAATGAGTTTAAAGGCTACACACACTGATGGTGCATTCTAATGGGAGTTATTAACATGACTGAGGTTTGCAAGTAGTTCACCACTGGTGTGCTGCAGGCTATAGTTAACTGTCATCTGCCCTCTATTTGTAAGGCTAAGAGAGGGGACCAATGTAATTTGGAATCAGATTAAGCTGTTGATATGTTGCCTTGAAAACCAGAAGACCCCTGCAGTTCTTCTTAACTGGAGTGGTCTCCCCTCACACATGGTCAACTATATCTATTACTGAGGTGACTATCACTGTCCGGACCTCAACCACTGCTCTTAAAAACATAAATGTTTGGTCTTCATTGTTACGAAAACTTTGTCTGCACTTAGGAAAGTGTTGTTACATAGGGTGGTAAATCCGATCTGAGAATTGTATTGGTTCACTTATAGAGTATGTATTTGTCCATCCCTGTATGATGATAATTTGTGATATTTTCCCAATGTGGAAAGTATTTCTGGAAACTTGCACGAGTACGATGTGTGTATTACGTTCCTTTTTTCATAAAAAAAATACGTAGTTACACTTCCTGAAAATGATGCAATATGACAATGATCTTTTATTTTCCTCCGAAATTGCATTCTAGCAAATTTTCTCACCATTTAATTGAATAAATACTGACTTTTCTGGTGAGAAAAGTCAAGTATAACATCTCATCCATGACTACATATATGAGATTGTCTTTGACCTGGTAAACTTTTCCCCCTGTCCATATGTACACTATTAATCGTGGCTTAAAGGTTGACTTTTGGCACGAAAGACTGTCCATCTCGTTCTCAATTTTCAAACACAAATGGGGTGGTTTTAACGCTTTAGCTAGCAATATGTATATAAATATATTCTATGTGCTAACATGGAGAAATAAATGTATCAACAAGGTCCTGTAGTTGTTGAGTATTTTTTTTATGTCCATCCGGGGGTAACTTAGGCTCTATTCAATCTGTATCGATGAAGCGTTACAGATTGCCTGATAGAAATGTAAAGGTCATTTCTGATTGAGCCGACATATGCAGGGTTTACCGTGAATGCAGTCTCCACTAACGTGGGGGCATTGCCTTTAAATTTCAAACACGCTGTAACGCTGAACTTCCGTGATACGGATTGAAGTAACTATGGGCCCTGGTCAAAAGTAGTGCACTAAATAAGGAAATGGGTGCCATTTGGGATGAAACCTGTGAAATATCTGAAAGTTTCTGGGGTAAGACAACATTTTTCTTGAACTGTCAAAGTACTTTTTGGATCAGTAAAACTGTAAACTGTGCAACAAAAAAAAAAGATTTTCAAACATACTTTTCTTCACACTCTCATATTGTTGGCGTTACCATAGGCTGGGATTCAATCCGATCAGTGGTAGATCCCCGTAATAGCGTGCTTGACATTTAAAGGTAATTTTAAATTGAGCCGACATACATGTTTTCCCATAAATGCGGGAACATTGCCGAAAAAGGGCAATTGGATTGAATCCCGGCCCTATTCTTGAAAAAGGCAGGTAGTGTCAACACTAAATTAATGGTTGTGATTACAGACGGGGTGTGAAAAACATTACTTTCATGAAGCCAACGTTGGGGAAGATAAGAGCTTTCGCCAAAGAGATGATGTTGATTCAAATTAGCCATTTGTTTTTCACCTTCACCCACCTGTTGAAAGAGTTTGGGCTGGATTCATTCCGTATCGCGAAAGATCCGTGTAAAACATTTGAAGGTAATTTCCTATTAAACCGACATATGCAGCGTTTACTGTGAATGCAGTCACTGCGAACGCGGGAACATTGCCTTTAAATCTAAATCGAACTATAATGCAGATATTACGCGATACGGATTGAATACAGCCTTTTATTGCATTTGAATGAACCTACGCAGCCATCATCAGTTTTCCAAACAGTCTCCTAAGGACAGGATTCAACCGATCACGGTTTATAGAGGTAATGCGGATTTTAAAGGCAATTTCTGATTGAGCCGATGGATGCAGTGTTTACCATGAATGCGATCTCCACGAACACCAGAACATTGCTTTTAAAAGCTGCATTGCCTATAACCTGCAATATAATAAAATCCCGGCCTGAATTGTATTTGTTTTCAGCCACCAACAGTATTTACATTCAACCATGCAAACTTGCTCACAAGTGAGGTCTAGATTTCCAATCCAGCTTTTTTCCTTCTTCATACGGAAATGTTTTATTTGAAGATATCAATGTTTCCAAACATATAGATACAGTAGGCCTTTCTTCTAAAAATAATTTAACTGAATAACCACTAATAGCAAACATGTAAACCTATTCCCAAAATTGGGACTTCAGTCCTTCCTTAATTACAAAAATCCATATGTCAAAATCCAAAATATAAGGTGCCTATTTAAATCTGATATGTCAAAATATACTACATGAATTAGAAAAAACGATATTGTGCTACTTCCATAAATGTTATAATGTGCAAACACTGAAATAGTCATTCTTGTAACTTATACCTTGGCATTGTTGAATACTTGTTTCTGATTGGCATGAAGGGCATTCTAGAGCGTGCATTATTTCCCTATAACGCACGGTAGAATTCAATGGCTACATTATTGCCATTGTTAAATTCGATTTTCATAATGGCAAGTTAAGACTGATGGTTTGTTAGCTAAACTAGCAAGTCTTTGTTTGGTTCCCATGGCAACTACTGTAACTATCTTGTAAACTTGCTAGTTACTTCAGTGGATGTTGAACACATTTCTACCGGCAAATGTTTTAAATAATAGCCATGGTATAAAAGGGATCATCATCTCGGGGCTCTGTACATTCTCTGTGGAAGGTCGCATAGCCCCTCGTTGATTATCCCTTACATATTTCACTACATGCAAACAAATATATGCATGTATGAAAGTTGCCATAGTTCATGCATTTTGTAATACATTTTGAAAACAATATACATATCTTCAGATTAGATTTATTAGATTTTCATATGGGTAGACGTGTGTCCAGCGTTCATAACAGGAATGGCTCAGATCTATACCTCTTTAATGAAAGCCACCAAATATCAGCAGTGTACCAGATGGATTTGCAACAAGTAGATTTACAGCACTGTGACAAGTATAGGTTGGGACAATTATCATTTTTCAATGAACAGATATGAACCAGTATAAACGTGTATCTCAACCGAGGGGTATGAGCATTGCACACACATCTGTTACTTTGTAAATGTCTAAAAACTGTTCACTGTAATGTTTGTTAATTAAAATGTATCGCCTCTGCTGAGATATGCCTTTCAAAATCAAAAAAGTGGCAAAACATTAAATAGTTCAGATGTGCACAGACTGCTCTGATGAGACAAAGGCTGACTCAGTATTTGTTATTTCGCTTCAATCATTTCTTGGCTACATATCTTTTTAAAAGTCATAACTTGTAATAGAGCAAAACTGATTGATTGATGGATTTGATTCAATATACATTACACTACCATAGAATATATGGAAAACTTGCTAAGTAATGTGTGTATGAACAAAGTTAACTAAACATAAATCCCAAATATGTAACAGATATCAAATATGCTTGAGCATATGATACATTTACATTGAGATGCAACCTCTGAAACAGCAGGTAGGTAGCCTAGCGGTTAAGAGCGTTGGGCCTGTAACCGAAAGTTAGCTGGTTTGAATCCCGAGCCAACTAGGTCATATTTCTCTATGTGCACTTGAGCAAGGCACTTAACCCTAATTGCTCCTGTAAGTTGCTCTGCGAGCGTCTGCTAAAATTTAAACAACGTGTACTGCTGCAATAAACAAACAAACTTCATTTTATAGTCAAAATCATTGAAATATTTATTTAATTGAAAGACTTATGCCAACTTAGTTTGTAATCTTTAAAAAAATGTCAGGGTCATTCTTGCCAATAAAAAAAAATGCTGTGTATATACTAGAAAGTGCTTTTAAAGATTCTAATGTGTTGAACTAAAACATTCTTAGCCATGAACTTCACCCTCAAATCATGTATGATTCCACACAGATTTAAGGTTTCACACTCCCCCAAAACTGCTCTTCCACCTTATGATAGTTGCCCCAACATTTATTCCTCTAAAGGGTTTCCGTAAAAGTGTTGTCTTGTACTTTTTCATAATTTTTCCCTCTGTGACATCAATATAGGAGCCCTGATTGATCTCAATGTAAAAATATTAAGGACTAAACTTTCTATTTACAATCCTGTTGTTTCAGAAACAAGTGTTTGACATGCCAGCACAAAGACGTACTCATCATCATCATTCCCACCGGAGGTGTTTGAGCCATCATCCTCCTCACACAGACATTTCTCTAAAATCGCTTTTGATCCTTTCAGAGCTGTTCTTTGTCTCTGAAATGCAGTACTTCTCCCTTGCATGGTGTCTGATGTCTACAGAGCGGAAGTTGTTGCGCTGTTTGAAGGACATAAAGGGGGTGACTATAAGGATTCAGACTGTCCTCGCAATTACCGCACAAACATTTTCCTTGGTGAATCCTAGGTCTTTTTAATTCATATAGATCTATATTTATATTTTATATACTTGATGTGATTTTAGTGTTCACTCAAGATAATACAATGCTTTGTTTTTATATTAGCAAATATTCAAGATTAAAACATTCTTGAATGTTCTCTCTCATATACTTCTAAAGTGAACAAAATAAATTAAAATCAGTTTTTGTACATACTTACATGATATGAAATAACAGTGTTTTCCTTCAATTGAAGAATAATGATATTAACTATGACAACTGAGTAAAAGGTTGCTGTAGTTGAAATAATCACACTGGTTTGTTTCCCTTGTAGTTGAGACAGTTGTTACAGAAAATAAATGTTAGCGCAGAATTAAAAACGTAATTATACAAAAAATGAACCAACAAACATTAAACAATATATTGTACCTCATATTGTAAAGTTCATGGACAAAATTGATATATCCTGTATCAAAACATATCTATATTTGTAATGACTGATATCATAAAAAAGGTCAACATAAAATACCATTTGCCACAGCTTGTAAATATTGTTAAAAAATACCCTAACCTCTTAGAGGGCAGATTTTAAAAAACGAGCGACTTCAGCAATACGTAACATGAAAATATATACACACTTACTTCAAAAAGCAAAGATCTAAGCTAGACTGGCACTCTCCCATCATCTACACACATAGAGCTCCTTCCATTCCAATCTTTCACTACACTAACCCGTCTCCTGTTTCTGCCAATTCTAGGTGTTTTTGTTTTGAACTAGCGACAATGTCCCACAAACAAGGCGAGCGCCTGGGTCCAGGACTCACGTCCTCTCCTCTCTTCCCTGCTCTCCTCAGAGACCAGAGGTCCTGTTGCATTGCAGTATGTACATAAAGCTCGGCCCGTCGATTCAAGGCCTTGTCTTGGTCTAGTAGGTCTACAGATGGCAGGCTACATGTTATAAGCCACGTATATGGGGTCCAGCTGGTCGGCCAGGAAGCCATCCCGGAGGTGCATCCTCTGCTTCTCCCCCCGGGAGTTGATGGGGATGACCCCGATGTCCACCACCACCACCACCCCCACGATCAGGTAGTGTTCCTCCAGAACCACGTTGGTCACCAGAGGAACCAGGTCCAGGGCCTCCTGCTCCGAACCATCCAGCTCCACCACCACCACCAGGAGGTTGGTCCACGTGAACACCGCACTGAAAGATAGTCAGGTTCAACAGTCAGTTTAAACAACATGAGCTACTGGTCTAAACCATTCAGCTCCACCTCCAGGAGGTTGATCCATGTGAACACTGCACTGCAACAACAACAAACAGTACAGTAGGTACTTTGCATGTTGTAAGTTAGCTCCTCACTCTGCCATTTCAACAAACCATTAACTATTTGAAATTGGACAAAATCAGCATGATATTTTAACAGACTTGGTCCTCTGTAGCTCAATTGGTAGAGCATGGCACTTGTAACGCCAGGGTAGTGGGTTCGATCCCCGGGACCACCCATATGTAAAAATGTATGCGCACATGACTAAGTCGCTTTGGATAAAAGCGTCTGCTAAATGGCATATTATTATTATTATAACAGAAAATATAATTCCCCTGCATATTTGCTAAAATGCCCCTACTGCAATTGTGTGTCCTGATATTATATATACACCATTGGCTGATCTGATCCTTCTATATGTATTCTCTGTATATCTTCCCTGTAAATAGTTAACTAAAGGTTTTCTGTATCGTACTGGCCATCTACTTGCTTTCTCTCTTGGATAAAATGCCCCGAAAATGGTGAGCTACACCAGAACCACAAATCCCCAAGCTACTGTATTTTTCATGGTGCAAAAACCCAGGATGCTGATCATGTAGCCTTATGAAGTTAGTTACAGTTCTCACCATTCTGTGATGCTCTTATGCGTCCTGATAACGGAGGTCTCGATGTCGATGGGGTGGTACCTCATTCCCCTCAGCTCCATAGCCTCATCCAACGCCCCCACCACGTACAGGGCATCGTGTCGCTCTGCGCGCACGCACACACACACACACACGTAATTACAAATTGCTGCTAGTGGATGTGAAGCGCACCAGTGAAAGTATGAATGATAAGTACATTTGGTAGTGAAGTGAACGGGTAGCTTACCCCCGCTGGCGTCGGTGAGTTCAGTCCTCCTGAGGAAGCCCAGGTAGCCGGTGCGGGCCCAGATTGTCTGTGTGTCTCCAAAGCTCAGACGGGAGTTAAAGTGGTCTGACTGCAGGGCCTCGTCTCCATACACTGTGAAGTAGCCGCTGGCATTGTGTCCACTGCACACCCAGATCTGTGGACAGGACAGCAATTCGATGTTATTTGTTTTACCATCGAGGACCACTTTTGAAACAAGTGTTTTAATTCATGCTTTACAGTGGGGAAAAAAAGTATTTAGTCAGCCACCAATTGTGCAAGTTCTCCCACTTAAAAAGATGAGGCCTGTAATTTTCATCATAGGTACACGTCAACTATGACAGACAAATTGAGAAGAAAATAAATCCAGAAAATCACATTGTAGGATTTTTTATGAATTTATTTGCAAATTATGGTGGAAAATAAGTATTTGGTCACCTACAAACAAGCAAGATTTCTGGCTCTCACAGACCTGTAACTTCTTCTTTAAGAGGCTCCTCTGTCCTCCCCTCGTTACCTGTATTAATGGCACCTGTTTGAACTTGTTATCAGTATAAAATACACCTGTCCACAACCTCAAACAGTCACACTCCAAACTCCACTATGGCCAAGACCAAAGAGCTGTCAAAGGACACCAGAAACAAAATTGTAGACCTGCACCAGGCTGGGAAGACTGAATCTGCAATAGGTAAGCAGCTTGGTTTGAAGAAATCAACTGTGGGAGCAATTATTAGGAAATGGAAGACATACAAGACCACTGATAATCTCCCTCGATCTGGGGCTCCACGCAAGATCTCACCCCGTGGGGTCAAAATGATCACAAGAACGGTGAGCAAAAATCCCAGAACCACATGGGGGGACCTAGTGAATGACCTGCAGAGAGCTGGGACCAAAGTAACAAAGCCTACCATCAGTAACACACTACGCCGCCAGGGACTCAAATCCTGCAGTGCAGACGTGTCCCCCTGCTTAAGCCAGTACATGTACAGGCCCGTCTGAAGATTGCTAGAGTGCATTTGGATGATCCAGAAGAGGATTGGGAGAATGTCATATGGTCAGATGAAACCAAAATATAACTTTTTGGTAAAAACTCAACTCGTCGTGTTTGGAGGACAAAGAAAGCTGAGTTCCATCCAAAGAACGCCATACCTACTGTGAAGCATGGGGGTGGAAACATCATGATTTGGGGCTGTTTTTCTGCAAAGGGACCAGGACGACTGATCCGTGTAAAGGAAAGAATGAATGGGGCCATGTATCGTGAGATTTTGAGTGAAAACCTCCTTCCATCAGCAAGAGCATTGAAAATGAAACGTGGCTGGGTCTTTCAGCATGACAATAATCCCAAACACACCGCCCGGGCAACGAAGGAGTGGCTTCGTAAGAAGCATTTCAAGGTCCTGGAGTGGCCTAGCCAGTCTCCAGATCTCAACCCCATAGAAAATCTTTGGAGGGAGTTGAAAGTCCGTGTTGCCCAGCGACAGCCCCAAAACATCACTGCTCTAGAGAAGATCTGCATGGAGGAATGGGCCAAAATACCAGTAACAGTGTGAAAACCTTGTGAAGACTTACAGAAAACGTTTGACCTGTGTCATTGCCAACAAAGGGTATATAACAAAGTATTGAGAAACTTTTGTTATTGACCAAATACTTATTTTCCACCATAATTTGCAAATAAATTCATTAAAAATCCTACAATGTGATTTTCTGGATTTCTTTTTCTCATTTTGTCTGTCATAGTTGACGTGTACCTATGATGAAAATTACAGGCCTCTCTCATCTTTTTAAGTGGGAGAACTTGCACAATTGGTGGCTGACTAAATACTTTTTTCCCCACTGTACATAACACTTACTGAACTTATAACATTACACTGGATATCTAAAGGGACATTTCTAAAATGGTCAACTTCATATTCATAATCTCCAGCACCACCCCATCATCAACATATGTGAAAATGGCACGTTTCTATGTTTTGCAGTAAACATAGAGGAAGAAAGTGTTCCCAATGACATCATCGGTGTGCATCCTGTGATTTTAACCAATTATGAGTAGGCATTGCCTATGTAACCGGTGTGAAATGGCTAGCTAGTTAGCGGTGCGCGCTAGTAGCATTTCAATCGGTGACGTCACTCGCTCTGAGACCTTGAAGTAGTCCCTGGTTCAAGCCCAGGTAGGGGCGAGGAGAGGGACGGAAGCAACACTGTTACACCTACTAATTGGTTGATGAGGTCATTGGAAACACCATCTTCCGCTATATTTCTTACTACAAAACATAGAAACGCGCCATTTTAACATATGTTGATGTTGGGGTGGTGCTGGAGATCATGAATATGAAGTAAAAAAATGGTCAAATTTCCCTTTAACATCAAGTGAGACGGAAGTTATGTGGACTAACTTGAAGTACACAGAGAGAGACTACTGTAGTTTAGTCTAATGAGAGAGTGAATAACTAATGAGCTATGACACTTAAAGTACAGAGAGAGACTGTATTGTAGCCTCATTTATTGTAGCTGGTATTGAGTTTAATGAGTGAGTGATTATGTCTCAACCAACCTCTCCAAGATGCGAGTCTCCCAGCGGTCCCTTGGTCTCCGGGTTAGCGATGATAATTCGAACCCCTGGTAGAATCTGATGGCATTAAGGAAGAGACGATTAGTGCTTTCATCTCTCCACTCCTCTCTTCTCCCCTCTCCCTTCAGAGAGGCCATTTATGTAACTGATTTACTGAGTTGAAGCAGAGTGAAGTGGCCCGGCTCTTTCTCTCCCAAAAGGGTGCCATTTGGTACGCAGCCACAAACTGTGTAACAGGATTTAATGTTGCGAGAAATAAAAGCCTAATTATTGTGTGGTACAGACTGATCCTGATCTCCTGGCTGGTCCATGTAAAACAGAGCAGAGCGCTGCCTCTGCCGGGGCACAATTAACTCTCACCTACACTTCCTCAATTATGGCGATGGGTAGATGTGGAAACTAACTACAGCACAGCACACACACTAGTTTAATATCAGTGATTAAAAATACTTCAGGGTGTACAGTATGTCTATGTAAATGACTACCATTCATTCATTCATTCACCAAGTCACGCAGGGACTCACCTTTCCAGATTCCATGAGTGGTAAGCTGTGTGGAGACCCTCTCTCAACCAGACGAACCCTGTGAGGGAGGAAGTGAAGAGTTACTGGGCCGCTGAGTCAATATTGTGGCTGCATCCTAAATGGCATCCTATTTACTATATAGTGCACTACTTTTGAACAGAGCCCTATGGTAATAGGGAGCCATTTGAGACACATCCTGTTAGTCAGCGTGTCATCTGGCTAGTCCTCCTCATTGAGCACTTCATCATAAAGACTAAAGGATAGTGGAGAGCAATAGATCACATTCTGAAACCTTTTATTTCACGTTTCATCAATGCAGCTGTTTATACAAGCCCTTTTAGTCTACAAATTAAACTGAACTTTCAACACAAACACAATAGCTACATCCCAGGGAGGAGGACAGTGGTAGAGACAAAAATAACTGTCTATAATCACACAGTGTGTATGTGAATAGCAGCAGCTATATTTGTGAGCTGTGGGGCCCAATGTGCAGCATGTTGCCTGATGTAGTGCCCCTCTGTGTCCCTGCTAGTACACTGTGTCTCAGACTCAGTCTGCATTCAAATTGTTTTGGTTGTGAGCAACATTCTGTTGGCATAGATGTCATACTTCTGATTCTGAAGACCTATGTGTGTCACTCATTGACAGATAATAAACAGTACACCAAAAAATGCACCACTTGGTTTACTACATAGCTAATGTTCTGATGGGAGCATGCCCTTACCTGTCGTGCCTCAGTGCCCTCATGTCCACATACACAGTAGTTGGGTCTGGTCCTGAAGTACCCTGCAGAATGACAACATGCCAGGGTTAGTGTCCGACCTAGGATGTCTGCTGCCTTACATTACCACTAACACAGCACTATCTAGATGCTACAAGCATGTTAGTGCTTAACAGAAAGCCTACAGGTCAAACTGGTTGCGAATGGAAGCTTTGAGACAAGTCCAACAAACAATACAATGAAAAAACGAATAATACAAATCATAGTGGGCTACTAACTACAACATTCAGACAGACCATGGTGGTGGAAGAGGACAATAAGAAAGTTTGAAGGCATTAAAAACCAAACCAAAAGAACAGGGCCGGTATCCACAAAGCATCTCAGAAAAGGTCAAAACAACAAAAAAACTCCCAGCTCAGAGTAGGTTTTAGGATGATAAGACACTGTCCAGTCAAAGTCTGAGCCAGGAGTAAAATCAACTCATAAAAGTTTCTCTCAGCTGGTAATCAAGACAGTTTGAGGTACTGCAAAGGAAAATTTGTGATGACGCTCACTGACAGGGTTGCAAATGATAACCAATCGCGATGAGGCATGCTGTGCGCGCTTCAAACAACCACGGTGAATGTGACTTACATCAAATGATGCAATGGTAAAACGTGCGCTGCATCATTCGTGGAGGACGACATGTTCCCTTGTTTTCGCCTGACATGATCACTTTGCCTACTGTTAATTATTGCCTAATATGTTGGCATGCATAACCATTCATCATACAGATCATACAGTATGATGGTTGTTAAAAGCGGAATTTTTATAATATTACCGCTATATCAACACAATCGTCACTCCCATTAAACAACTCTAAATCGCTTTGGCACAGTAGGCATCGTGTCACTTACCGATAATTTGCATAACACTTTGGACATTTTCACCAAACACAATCAAAGTTAACATAGGCCCTAGTTTTCAATCGCCCAATTTATAGGCATGACCAATTCAGGCATCTTTTAAAATCTTTTAAAAACGTGATATTGCGCTCAAGGATAACTTCAAATAACATGATGTAGGTTCATTGATGAAATAATCAAAATAAAAAAAAATAGATTATTTATTAGCCTAGTGGTTAGAAGTAATTAGGCATATCATGTGAATTAGGCCTCGTGAAATCATTGTCAAAAGCGCAAGAGATGGCTACTGTTGCATGTAGGTCTAGATTATTTATAGGTTGATCCGAAATATCAAAATATTCTTTCAACAACTCCAAATCAATCGGCTTCATGCTTAGCTTTTATTTTTACCCATAAGAGTAGGAATAAAATGTCTGTAGCCTCAGCACTTACGACCAATATTCTAGTGCGAGACGCTTTGTGTATATGGCCCCAGAGCAGAAGTAAAATGAAAAAACGTACCCACAATGAAAGTGCACCACAAAACTGTTCTGAGATCAGATCAAGTCTGATCCACATCATGCAAACGGAAAGAAGCCACAAAACAACAAAAAACATATTTTGTTTTTTTAAGAGGAAAGGATCGGGAGGGTGACTTGAAATCCACTGAGGGAGAACAGAATACACAACCAGACTGAAGGAGAGAAAGGAGGTAGACATGGTGATATAGTGCATCATGTCTGAATGAGCATACACAATCTGTATCTGTCCCTTCAATAGACGGCTTTGAAAGCTGATAGTTCAGTAGAGAGGCTTGACTGGCCAGACACGAGAGTCAAAGCCCACAGACAGAACAACACAATTCCAACATACATTACATTGAGCACATAGGCACCAACTTGAACAGTAGTACGCGTGTGTGAGTGTATTTCTATCTAGTAGGTTAGTGAACAACCAAAAAACCCATATGAATAAAGAAGAGAAACCAGCCAACAAAGAAATAGAGAGAGAAAGCACTGAGCAACCTCCCCTCCCTAGACTTCCTCAGCCTAGCACTGGTCCACATGCAGCTTGCTGATGCGGCGCTTTCCTCAATGCTCTGGACTCGAGCTATCCCCAGCCCCCTCCTCCCCCCCAGGTAGATTGCAGTGCACCCGTGATTCAGCAGCATGTTTTAATAGCATGGCTAAGGCTTTGGCAGAGGAAGCATCAGAGCAGCATCCACCACCGGAGAGAGAGAAAGACAGCCATAGAGCTACACATGCTAGATCCTGACTCAGTCCAGCCATAGACAGCCAGCTATAGAGCTGCACATGCTAGACTGACTCAGTCCAGCCATATCGCCGTACATGCTAGACCAGAGGTGTCCAACCCTGTTCCTGGAGAGCTACCTTCCTGTATGTTTTAGCTCCAACCCCAGTTGTAGCTAGATTAGGGTTGGAGTGAAAACCTACAGGATGGTAGCTCTCCAGGTCTAGCCATAGAGCTGCACATGCTAGACTGACTCAGTCCTGAGCACAGGCGGACCAGAACACAAGGTACCGTCATACAGGACACACTACAGTCTTATAGCAGTATCGCAATACTACTGTACTACAGTCCTTGTCTACAGTCACTCAAACATAGAGCAGGCCTACACTATGACAATACTACTACTACTACTGCAGTCACACTGCACTACACTAGAATTGTCCAGATTGGAATGTGCTTTAGTCAGCTATTGTACATGTATGGCATGATAGTTAAATGAGTTTGCTAAGGCTAATTTGGACTAGGCTATTACTACTGAAATATAGTACTATACAAGTCACATGGTGTTACTATACTCTCACTGCATTTCCATCTCTCTGGGCCTCAGAAGGAAAAGCAGTCTAGGTGAGCTGTGGCAGTATCTATCCCAAGGCAAACTGGAAGCTGTCACTGATATGATATGACCACACTTGACAAGTTGGCCCAGCACAGGTTCATGTTTCAGTACTGCAGGGTTTTAATATTAACGAGCTGACTTTTTCTAAGTGCTAAGAGCTTTGCTAAGAGGGGTCTCAGATGACACCTTTAGACAGTAGAACATATTGCTGCAACACAAACACTGTGTGTGTGCATCCCAAATAGCACCCTTTCCTCTAGAGAGTGCACTACTTTTGACCACGGCACATAGGGCTCTGGTCAAAACGTAGTGTGCTATATAGGGAATAGGGTGCCATTTATAACTCAGCCTATAATAGCTCACCAGAGTGGCAAGGGTTGCCTTTCCCTGTTAAATCAAATCTGGCCCCGACATCACCATATAACCTTTAATCACTTCACTGTAACTGACCACACTTTGAATCACACATCCTGTCCACCTAGAAAGCTACTGAGAAGCCTTGACCATGGCTGTGACTATGCCCCAATATACTGCTATCCCTGTTCTCTACCCTGTCCCCCCCTATCCCTTCCTAACCTCTCCCCTGTACCCTGCCCCTCCCTCCTGTCCCCTGCCTGCTCACAACACCTGATGAAGAGGGTGATTAGGGAACGTGGAAATCCCCTACCTGGTCAGCAAGCTTCCCCAGCCTGTGAGGCTTTAGCAGCAGCAGGAGGAGAGTGAGGAGGAGGGAGGAAGGAAGGAGAAATAAGGGGGAGGAGGGAGGAAGGAAGGAGAAATAAGGGGGAGGAGGGAGGAAGGAAGGAGAAATAAGGGGGAGGAGGGAGGAAGGAAGGAGAAATAAGGGGGAGGAGGGAGGAAGGAAGGAGAAATAAGGGGGAGGAGGGAGGAAGAGGGGGGCGAAGACAAAACCAAGTATAGGATATGTGGGTGGGGTTATGCAAAAAAACAAGAGGGGGGAAAAAACAGAAATGTCAAATATAGAAATGGGAAACAAAAAACAGAGAAGCAGCCTTAAACTAAATAAGAAGTTATGTTCTAAACTACTAGGCTTATTAATGTTAGCCAATAGATCAATGTTAGCAAATGTTGGGACATTTATACATGATCAGTTACATTTACATGATTACATTGATAGTATAGATCAGGGACCGGCAACTTCGATGGGGGCAGGGGCCACAAAACATCTGAACTCATGAGGGGCTGCAGTGGCTCACAGGTCTGCGTACCCACATATGCAGTCAGAGGCGGCCCTAGCCTTTTGGGGGCCCTAAGTGAAATTGTGTTACGTATACTCAAGTTAAGAAGAGAAGCATGTAGTAAGTCAGAGGTAATCGCTTATTCACAATAGAGTTTAAGAGGGAAGAATCTATACATGTTAAATAATCGTGTTAAATACAACAAACATTTTCAACAGGCTTCTTGATTGGGCTTTTTATCGATCCATTCAGATTTCATTGATTGATGGAACAGATAAGTGCATCTGAAACAGGTGCAAATAGTATCCTGATCTCTATCTCATTAACATTTGAATAGTAAAGCTTACAATTTGATATCATTTGAATAATAAAGCTTGCAAATAATAGTTGAATCATGTAAAAGAATGAGCCCAAAATAAAATGACGTAGCAGCATGTGTAAATGCTTATGGACAGCTGAGCTCCAGAGACATAGTGTATGTCCCAAATGGCACCCTATTCCCTTTATAGTGCACTACTTTTGACCACGGTCAATAGTCGTTCCTTATTTAGGGAATAGGGTGCCATTTGAGACGCACACATACACTGAGCTATGTCTGGTAATATATTTTTTTTGGTGAGAAGCAGAGGGCAGAGGGCAGAGGGCAGAGAGAGTGAGATATGTAGAGGACATCTATGCATGTTGGCTTCTCCTCCTGCGAGCTGTAAACCCTGACAGGATTATTACTGTAGGCCCCATAGGCTGGCCCTAGGGCAATTGTGGCTTCCCATGTTAAGTCACACAAATACAGATTAATGACTATAGTCCATTAAATTAAATCAGATTAATCTCCCTCACCCCAAAAAACAAACAAACCGCAATGCAACTAGGGAGTTCACAAAAAGTCTCTAAATAAAAGAAACACAACTAACTTCCAAGACTTGAGGAGAAGGCTTTGCAAACGATACTGGAGGCAGAGAGAATGCCAAGAAACAGTAGCACGCCTTTCAACAAACACAAGACAACAACAGAGCCACAATAAACACCCATTGGCTATCAAAGAGCACGTTGTCTACTATGGTGGAAACATTGGTAATAGGATCGATTAACTGTTGGATGCATCGACATCACCAGCGTTCTGGAGTTTTCCTTTTAATTCAGTCTATCGGAGTCCCACTGGTGACAGAGTGGGGACAGAGAGAGACAGCACCCAAAGATACTGAACTTGGTAAGAGTTGAGCAGAGGAGAGGAGGAAGGTACTGATTGTACCTGCAGACAGATGGCCAGGTTGACTCTGCAGCCGAATGAGGTGCTGACTGCTCGGGGGTGGAGGCCCAGGTCTTTGAAGAGCTTGGAGAAGGACTGAGTCAGAGCTATCCTGGGTCTCTCCTCTGCCACCACCACACACGTCCTCACCCGCGACAGGTCCAGGGGTCGAGACTGACAGAGAAACCAGAACTAACTGGATCAAATCAGAACTAACCAGGCTGGATGAGTCTGGGTTGATGGACTAGATTGTAATCAATCAACTAATCAGACAATTAATCAATATTTTTTACATCAGCAGTTGTCAAAGTGTTTTACTCTCAGGTCATCACATTGTAATAACATTTTATCTTATCTAAGTATCATTGTTGTGGTGATTTGGAAGAAGGATACCTACCTTGAGTGATTCGGTCTGCAGCCCTAGGCCCTTGGTGCACAGCTCCATGACGCTGTAGGAGCAGAAGGTGTCCCTGACCTTGTACTGACTGACAGCTAGCAGCCACAGAGCAGGGTTCACCTCCAACTCTGAAGGCGGGATCAGGATCGACTGGTGGCCGGAGTACACACTAGAAACAGGAGACACAGAGTGAGTACACACTACACACAGGACACTGTAACTAAGTAGTACACACAAGAGACATGTAGTGTACAGTAAGTGCATAGCCTGAGTGCACACAAACTTAACATAAAAACTTCAAACACTTCACACCAGTGACCGGGACCATGAGTGTACTAACAGCCAACTACGTTATGTATTCAGTGACTCCATTTATAATCCAGGCCAATGCCATTTCATCAAGGCCAACGCAACCTCTATAGTGCAGCTAGCTAGTAGCTAGTGAATTCTACACTGAATAACACAATCAGGGCTAGTTTGCGTAGGCATAAATCAGAAACACTCCCAAGCTGAAACACACTCCTGGCAAATAAAACAGCTTTGTTCTTTAGCACGGTCCTGGTTTTTGGACAGCTGAGCATTTTTCCATCTGAAGATTTGACAAGTTGAGTGGTGCCATGCCAGAGAGTGCTTCCAATGGGGAGGCGATTAAAGAGAGCCCAGCGAAGAGCGGAGCAGAACGGCGTCATCATCACAAGGAGGCGGGTGGGGAGGCTAAACACAGCAGAATAATGCATGAGCTGCATTTGGCCTCCTGCTTCAACACTCACTCTTCTACGGTCCACGGCCTCTCTCTCGACCCCCCCCCCCCCCCCCCCCCATGGCCTCTGACAGGCCTGTAATGTCCTGACAAGGCCCCAGCATGGCACAGGTCTAACTGTCCCTGCCTGAAGAAGACAGGCTTTCTGACATCTGTAGCTAGTGAGAGACGGTGCATTCTGATGAGGACGTCCCGTCACTCACCGTGTGTGAGGGTCTGAGTAAAGCGCAGGGCTTCTACAGAACAGAGGTACAGGGGTAGCTGTGTGTGTGTGTGTGAAGTGTTGATGCAGCAAAGCTAGGTGTGTATGATGTGATGGGTGGGCAGTGACGAGGCTAGAAGGGTCCATCTCTCTCTGTCTCACCTGCAAAGGCACCAGAGGACGAAGCCCAGGCCGCAGTAGGGGTCCAGGCAGATAGCCACCTCACGGGAGGGGTACAGCTCACACTGCAGTTTGATAGAACGGCAGAAGGCACTGGTGGCAGTATGAGACATCTACACGGGAGGGATGACAAGAACAAACGCATACAGATTAGGAATATCGTTTTCACACTCTACTTGGCTATAGCCTGGTCCCAGATCTGTTTGCAAAACTCCATTGCAAAATATGACAACAAGTGACAAGGAGTTGGCATGGTGGCACAAACAGACTGGCACTCAGGCTAACTTCACTACATCACAAAACCAACAAATACAGTCTATATACAGTTGGTATCATTTCTACCAGGGTAGCCCTTTACTAAACAATATACAAATGACGTACAACTGAACTGTGTACCACAGTCATTCATTCTGAACTTTATCAATGTATGGTATTCAAGCCAAAAGCTTTGTTTTAAGTTTCAATTGAACTGCATCAGAATTAGGAAATGCACTGCAAAAAACTATTCATGCAAATATTCTCATGAGCTGCTAGTACGAGTACCACTTCCTGAATCCTTAACGAATGAATAAATTAAATCGTAGAACAATGACTCAACACGGCTGAATATATAGTGGGATAACGCTTTCACGACTTGGTGTGTCTGTGTGTCCCCTCTCCAGTTGATGTAAGTGGTTATTGTCCCATTTAAAAACAGTAATCCACGCAATCCTTTCTGCATCCAAAATGACACACTATTCTCTATACAGTGCAGTATTTGTGACCAGGGCACATAGGGCTCTGGTCAAAAGCAGTGCACTATGTAGGGAATAGGGTGCCATTTGGGACGTATTAGCAGGAGCAGACAGGGTTTTGTTATGGAGCAAATTCAGGATTTTGTTATGGTAATCAGTATACAGCATGAGAGACAATTATTTAACATAGCTGAACATCCCAACATCCCAAAGAGGGCATTTTGTTTTAGTAAACTACGGAAAAGAGCCCCACACACCACAACAACTTTCCCCCACCACCACCTAAATCGACCCCATTCTTCAATGTGTTTACAGCTAGAGGGAGAACAGAATGGACAATCGCCTCTAGGTGAAGGTAGAAAATCCACTTAGCCTCGTCCAATGAGGAACTGATAGCATAATTGCTTCCCTTATAGACCAGTGAAAAGACTAATCTTTACAAGTTGCTTTTCACTGGATTTCCTACTGAGCTTCGTCGGTCAGACAAAGGTTTCTACATGGCCAGATGAACTGTGAACAAGGCGTGTCCTAGTATGGGGTTGGATCTGTGGCGCCAGGGAGAATAGGCCTTCTGAGTGAGCACTGTACTGTGACAGATTCAGCTAGTCATCCACAGCAGAGGGGGGCTGGGATCAATAACCGCTTTCATGTTTTTCAAATGTCACTACTATCTTTTCACTCAGACGATCATTTCAAAGTGCGTTATACAGCTTGTTTCTGTTTCACTTAATATGCTTTTAGAGATATCAGCCCCCCTGATAGGAGAAACACATTCTGGTTAGAAGTTATTTACCTTCACTCCTGCTAGCATCCCTGTGGTGGACACACTGAAGTCCAGGTAGGCCAGTGTGTCTGGATTGGACGGCTTGTACAAAATTGGAGGTTTCTTCTTTGGCAGATCATCTAAAGGACAGAGAGAAAGGACAAGACCACTGTTATCACAAATACATTCTTAAGTAGAGGATAAATTACATTCCTGACATTCTCATTTGTCTTGATTGGTCGTAAGATCTCTGCATTGGTGTCTGTTGTAAAGAAGTCCCGACCCTCAGGCTAAAGTGGGTAATGGAGTCTGACTGAGGTGACTGGTGCAGCGTGGGTAATGTAGTCTCTTACCTGTGTCCAGGACAGGAGGCCAGGTCCTGACGTCCACTGCTGCTGACGCCTCCTTCGACCTTAGCAATTTACAGATCCCCGCTGTGGTCATCATACACGCCGAGCGGCTCACCTGGACACACACACACACACACACACACACACACACACACACACACACACACACACACACACACACACACACACACACACACACACACACACACGTTAGGAAAAACAAACACACGTTGAGACACACACACATTGAGACACACCTGTTGAGACACGCAAATACAAGTTCGGATACACAGACACGTTTAGACACACACGCACGCATCCGCAAACACACGTTGTAAAATGCTCCAGAAAGACAAGGCCTACTCTGTCGCCTTAGAGGATCCAGCTCTCTTTAATATCACCTCTTATGCATCTACGTCTACATTTTCTCAGATGAAAGGTCAGTTGTGATGCGATGACGACTTGATACATGGAGGATGTCAACGAGGCACTTACCTCCACGATCATCTTCACTGTGGGCAGAGTGGTGGCTATGTTCTGGGGGTGCGGAGGTCGCACAGTGATTGGCACGCAGCCCGCATACAGGCACCCGTAGAATGCTGCGATCAGGTCAATCCCTGCATGAAGGTCAAACAGAGAGAGAGAGAGGATATTAGTTCTGGTCCGTCAGTCCATGAGTCCCTGTGCCAAATCGGAACCAGCCTCCAGACAGACAGAAAGACACTGCACCCTCAGGACAAGGTGAAGTATTGAGCTGGCTGTCCTAGAGAAAGTTAATTGAATGGCTCTCTCAGGCAATCTCCCTTGTCAGGATTTTGTCCTGCTTGACTGAGTCTTTTCATTATGGACCTATGGCTTCACTTGAACGCTTGAATTTCTCTGGCTCCCAAATACTAATAGAGTTCCAAATTAGAATTCTACTTTTTAAATCTTGGAACACCCAGTGCCTTCTCTGTGTGTGCCCTTAAAGATCAGTACATAGTGCAATGTGGCTTTGGCCCTGGTTTGGAAGCATAGAGAGATTCTAGATTGATAAATGATAACTGACTGCTAAATAACACATGACTGCTGGTGATAAACCCAGTGAGAGATGTGATGGGTAGGTCAGCCACAGCCAGCAGACCTACCAGGGGGGTAGACGAGCGCAACGTGATCCCCGTCCTGCAGGTGTCCTCGCTCCGCCAGCATGGTAGCAATCTTCTCTGCTCTCTTATGCAACTGGATACATGTCAAAGAGCTGGCTATTGTCCCCTGTGGTCACACACACACAAAGACACAGGCACACACACAAACACACGAGAGAGAGTGAAAGAGAGACGAGAGAAAGATAGAGGGCAAGAAAATTATGATTTACAGTTTAAAGTTTCAATAGGTCTTTGATAGGCCTACTTCAAATAAAATCCTGATGGGTCTCAATAAAAAGCGAAAACAATGCCAACTATTTCAGCAGCTACTGCTATCTGTACAACACATTAGGAGTCAGATGTGAACAATGACAATACAGCCTTTAGCCAGGCCTCACTCACCCTGCAGTTGAGCAGTGTGTAAAGCACATGGTCCGGAGTGGTCTGGGCCCTCCATTGTAACACTTCGGAGAGGAAGAGGAACTAAAATATACAAAAGAAGGGAAAATCAAATAAGCCTCTGGCTGGATCACACACTCCGAGAGGAGAGGAGAGGCCATTCTGTCTCTGTGTTCAAATCAGACAGGAGGTGTGTGTCACAAATGGCACCATATTCTCCATGTAGATGCACTACTTTTGACAAGGGCATACATAGGGTTCTGGTCAAAATAAGTGCACTATATAGGGAATAGGGTGCCATTTCAGACATCGCCTATGAGAGAGAGGTACAGTAATGAAATCCCTGAGTAGCAGTGGCTAAAACATGTCTGCCATATCACAAAACTTGTTAGCGTATTTTAGAGAAGCTGTTACATTTTTACATTTACATTTTAGTCATTTATCCAGAGCAACTTACAGTTAGTGCATTCATCTTAAGATAGCTAGGTAGGACAACCACATATCACAGTCATAGTAAGTAAATGTTTCTTCAATAAAGTAGCTACACTATACATACAAAAGTATGTGGACACCCCTTCAAATTAGTGAATTAGGCTATTTCAGCCACACCCGTTGCTGACAGGTGTATAACATCGAGCACACAGTAATGCAATCTCCATAGACAAACATTGGCAGTAGAATGGCCTTACTGAAGAGCTCAGGGACTTTCAACGTGGCACTGTCATAGGATGCCACCTTTCCAACAAGTCAGTTCGTCAAATTTCTGCCCTGCTAGAGCTGCCCCGGTCGACTGTAAGTCCTGTTATTGTGAAGTGGAAACATCTAGGAGAAACAATGGCTCAGCCGCGAAGTGGTAGGCCACACAACCTCACAGAACGGGACCGCAGAGTGCTGAAGCCAAAAAAAAATTGTCTGTCCTCGGTTGCAACACTCACTACTAAGTTCCAAACCGCCTCTGGAAGCAACGTCAGCACAACAACTGTTAGGAGCTTCATGAAATGGGTTTCCATGGCCAAGCAGCCACACACAAGCCTAAGATCACCATGCACAATGCTAAGAGTAGGCTGGAGTGGTGTAAAGCTCGCCGCCATTGGACTCTGGAGCAGTGGAACGCGTTCTCTGGAGTGATGAATCCCGCTTCACCATCTGGCAGTCCAATGGACGAATCTGGGTTTGGCGGGTGCCAGGAGAACGCTACCTGCCCAAATGCATAGTGCAAACTGTAAAGTTTGGTGGAGGAGGAATAATGGTCTGGGGCTGTTTTTCATGGTGTGGGCTTGGCCCCTTAGTTCCAGTGAAGGGAAATATTAACGCTACAGCATACAATGACATTCTAGATGATTCAGTGCTTCCAACTTCGTGGCAACAGTTTGGGGAAGGCCCTTTCCTGTTTCAGCATGACAATGCCCCCGTGCACAAAGTGAGGTCCATACAGAAATGGTTTGTCGAGATCGGTGTGGAAGAACTTGACTGGCCTGCACAGAGCCCTGACCTCAGCCCCAATGAACACCTTTGGGATGAATTGGAACGCCGACTGCGAGTGCCCGACCTCACTAATGCTCGTGGCTGAATGGAAGCAAGTCCCCGCAGCAATGTTCCAACATCTAGTGGAAAGCCTTCCCAGAATAATATAATAATAATATGCCATTTAGCAGACGCTTTTATCCAAAGCGACTTACAGTCATGTGCGCATACATTTTTACGTATGGGTGGTCCCGGGGATCGAACCCACTACCCTGGCGTTACAAGCGCCATGCTCTACCAATTGAGCTACAGAGGACCAGAGTGGAGGCTGTTATAGCAACAAAGGGGGGGACCAACTCCACATTAATGCCCATGATTTAGGAATGAGATGTTCGACGAGCAGGTGTCCACATACTTTTGGTCATGTAGTGTACCAGCTGGTCAAGTCAGAGCTTCATATTAGAAGGTGACATGCTGAGTTCTTAATCAAATAAATCATTATTTTAGCACAATGACCTGCTCTCATAACATTTCAAAATGAAATACTGAAGGCACTGGTTCAGTTGCTGAGAGAGAGCGAGAGAGAGAGAGGGAGATGAGCTCCATATCGGTGGTGCAGATAGAAAAGAGTGAGAAATAAGAGAAGGGGCCAAGCGTGTCTCAGCTTATGAATTTTTCAAGGTTTCAGTCGTGGGGGCAGTGGAGGAGTAAAGAGTGGAGTGTAATTCATGCCTTTTGGAGGTTGGTTCTGTTATAGGCGCAGAGCATGAAAGTTAGGGGTCTGTAGTGTAATATTGCCTGTCTTCAGGCCTGCTCTTATAGTGATGAATTAGGGATTCAGTATGCACTGTTTTAATCCACCGGGTCCAACTGCTACAGATACTAAGTTATGTTCTCTGTGATCTTCTACGCTGCTCTGAATGCTAGATGTGTGTTCCAAAATGGCACCCTATGACCTTTATAGTGCACTACTTTTGTAATGCATTATATAGGGAATAGAGTGCCATTTGGGACTTACACCATTACTTACTTCGCTGCTCTGAACACCCCAGGAAAATCCACCCACCACCAACCGCCACTTTAGCCTGTCTAGTTTTTGAAAAATGCTGTGAAAATTACAGCTGCTGAAAGTGCTTAGTTTTACACTAAGGCTCTTGCCATTAAGTAGGGACAGATGTTGTCCTGTTGAAACACAGTCATTTGATATTTCCTGTCTAATTCCATAGGAAGGCCTGTTTCCAACAGACACACAGGACATACTATTCCCTGTGAAGCCATGGCTGTTTCCCAAATGGGACCCTATTCCCTGTGTAGGGCACTGCTTTTGACCAGGGCCCATGGGGGGTTTGGTCAAAAGTAGTGCACTACATAGGGAATAGGGTGCCATTTGGGACACACACCAAGTCAGGGCCTGCCTAAAACTAAGTGACTCCTTCCTTCTCTCTGCACTCAAACAAACATTAAGACAGGAACTTAGTCGAGTTTGCCAACGCCACTACAACATTGGCAAAATATAAACACCGTTTCCTGATGAAAACATCATTCAGCCACTTGCCATAAGCCCTGTGGATAATTCAGTAAAACCAATGTATTCTGTTTCCTTTCTGTTCACAGGAAACCGTCCCACTACCGTAGATTAGGCTAGATCAGTGGGAGAGAGGCCCAGGCTATGTCCCAAAAGGCACCATATTCCCTATATAGTGCACTACTTTTGACCAGAGCCCTATGGGCCTTGGTCAAAAGTAGTGCACTACATAGGGAATAGGGTGCCATTTGGGATGCAAGCCCAGTATTGTCAGAGCTGTGACAGCCAGTAGAGAGACCGGCAGATATGAATGACAGAGGTCTGTATTGAACGGTGATGGCCCACCCTCTCCTCTGAGACTCCCCCAGAGTGCTCTAGTAAAGCCTGTGCCTGCCTGGTCAGTACAGAGCAGCACAACGACCCATTGTCTTTAAATCAGCCCAGCCAGTCAGTGTCTGTCTGTGACTCAGATTCCAGGGCTGGATTAAAATCAGCACAGAGAAGAGAGAGCTTCATCTGTTTGTTAAGCATCTGTGATTCCAGAGCTTGTGTAGAAGAGATTTAGCTGAAAAGTATCAGTTGTCATTATCAAAGTGGATATCAGTCTTTACTGTTATGTGACCAACTAGGTGGTCAGTGGTGTACATTTCAGCAACAGTAACATGAACTTAAACACAAGTATTAGTTATGCTAGAAAGAAAAATATCAAACCAGTGTTGCATACATTTTTAAACATGCTAGAGCAGCAACCATTTCCTGACGCAAATTCATTGATTGGGTTAGACATGGCAAGATAATCGAGCACAGGTTTAAAATCACAACATTGACTATTAAGGAAATAGAGCTACGAAGAATCAGAAAAACCCATTCACACAGAGGGCCTGATTTTCAGATGAATGAGCATGGAGACAGCCAGACCATTTCGGTGCGTTAAGGTGATAATGAGAGGGAAGCAAAGCAGCAGTGATTATTATGGTCTGGTTGGCATGCTGAACAGAACAAAGGAGCAGAGGAAGGGATACAGACTGATGGTTGCTAGGGGGATTAAATCAAATGGAAAAGAACATGAAGAGTCTGAGTCAGAGGAATCCAAACCACACCACAAACAATGTTTGCGTTCCAAATGACACCCTATTCCCTATATAGTGCCCTACTTTTAACCAAAGCACTACGGGCCCTGGTCAAAAGTAGTGCACTATATAGGGAATAGGGTGCCATTTGAAATTCAGCCAATGTGTCCTGTCTTCCAGAGGGAAAGTAAAACAGAAGAAATCTGACTGTGTGTTGTGTTGTTGCTGTCGTCTGCCTTGTCACTTTACATTAGAGGTCGTACTGCCCAAGCGGCTGCCTAACAGGGTGATTGATGAGATTCTTCAGCATGAGAGAAAGGGGAAATCAATTCTGTCTCCGCTACGCTACGGCTACGCTCACCGTTGCTCAGTGCCACAAGCCAGGCACCACACATTCCTTTCTTAATAATTACTTTCCACACCTCTGCCACTGTAAAAGGAAAATAAAGTGCTATCAAATCTAGAATCAGTCAAATCACATACACCCCCTCTGATATTACACCTCTGTACTGACAGGGGCTTCGTCCCAAATGGCACCCTATTCCCTATGTAGTGCACTACTTTAGACCAGAGCCCTATGGGCCCTGGTCAAAAGTAGTGCACTGTAGGGAATAGGGTGCCATTTGCCAGGGTAGTCCTAAAGCCCTGAGGGAGATGTACAGTTTGATATTTCAAGGAAAAGCTAATCAAACCAAACCAAACTAACCAAGACTACAATCCTTCATCAACACAACAATCCTTCCCCAACACTACAATCCTTCCCCAACACTACAATCCTTCCCCAACACTACAATCCTTCCCCAACACTACAATCCTTCCCCAACACTACAATCCTTCCCCAACACTACAATCCTTCCCCAACACTCAGTATACCAACCAGTATGATCTGCTATCCATTACCCAGATATGAAGTAAGGGCTTAGAGAAGCCAACACTACATCAATCTGTTAGTTTGACTGGTTTAAGCTTCCTACTTAATATAAAGAAAATGTTGATGAAGGGATAGTTCCAACGCTCAGTGGAAACAGAGAGGAAGCAATGGAGACAGGGAAACCTGAGACCTAGTGTCAATACCTAGAGCTACGCTGGGTAGGCACTCTACAGTCCCTACTTCAGTCTAGCGCGAACACACCGCACTGTGTCCCAATGGATCCCTATTCCCTATATTAGTGCACTACTTTTAACCAGGGTCAATAGGGAATACATAGGGAAATAGTGCACTACATAGGGAAAATTCCATTTGGGACGCAGTCCACGGTACAGTTACACACCCTATTATTAGGTATCTCTGAGACAGAGAGCCTCTTAGACGTCTGTCTATGAAATGGAAAATACCATTGAGAAATGTCTTACTGTGCATACTAAATATTCTAATGTTGTCTCAACGATGCTTTTAAAAGCTTTGTTCCATTTAGTTCTGTAACAACAACAGTCTACCAATCCCAGGATATTTTTAGCCTTGACACTTGAGTCAAAATCAGAGTAGATCTCTAACAATACATCTAACTGGACCACGGGGCGGTGGTCTTTTTTTTCTGTATTGTGCAAGGCATGATAGCAGAATTGTATATGGTCTGCTCCATCCATATAAATACTTAGATATATGATAGAGATGTAGAATACTATAAAAACAGAGGATGTTGGATAAATAATTCAGATGACTTGGGGAGACTATAGATGAACAATGGCTGAACTACAGTACAACTATAGTGTCAGGTATGAGGGGATCAAATGATGGTAGACGGTCAACTTAAACATGAAGAGTGTGCCATATTCAACTGATTCACGCTACATCACAAATGGCACGCTATTCTCTATATAGTGCACTAGGGCCCATAAGGCTCTGGTCAAAAGTAGTGCACTATGTATGTAATATGGGTGGCATTTGGTGCACTATGTATGGAATAGGGTGGCATTTGGGACACAGCTAATATTCAGCTGGAGGCCCACAGTCCATGGTTTAATGAGCATGCTGATGTAGGTGAGGGTGTTGATGAAAACCAAGCCCTCAGACAGCAGCACAGCACACACACCTTCCTTGCCTGATCATTGTCTTCCATCTGGCCCAGGTCCCTGCCGCTAGCCTGGGCAATCCTCTTCCCCGACACCAGGTTCCCCACCATCACAGAGGCAGGCCCAATCTCTGTGGACAGAGAGATATAGATGAGACAACGCACATACAGAGTGACACACTGATACAAACATGTGGAGTCTATATCCCTGGCTGTGATCTACAGTGATATATACTAGCTCACATTGTGTGTGCAGTGAATTCTCCCTAATTCCCAGAGATTTACAGTGACAGGGTGGGCTGAGATTGACCTTGTGTTCAGAGGCGAAGGCAACCGAATGGATGGGTCAATTGACTGGATGGATTCTACTCTGACATAGCGCCTTTCAGACAAAATGGCCAGTGAAACCTGTGTTGTAAATGAACATCTATCTAGGGGGAACACAGTCCTAGAACTAATGGAGAGGTGACCGTTGCGCTATGGGATGGGATGTGTTGGATCAGACGGGACATGTTACAATAGTCACCGGACCAGATTACAAAACAATCCCTGTACAGTCCTGAATCGGCATAATCTTAGTTCTACACCTCATCCAACAGAATCAAGACATATGAAGAAGATTAATTAAATGGCCGTAGATATCTCAATCACCATGTAAACTAAGGATTTCAGTTAAACAAATGAACTAATCAATCCCCCAGGCAGACCCACTCAGGATGGTGTCCTATGGTGTAACATAGTGTCTGACCCGGTTGTTTCTGCCGGGGCTTGGGCAGGTTGGTGACACAGGTATGGGGACACATGAGGACGTTGCAGGGGTGCAGGGAGCCCTCCAGGAACAGCTGCTTGGTCTCTGACAGGTGGATGCCCCCCAGAGGGGTTTTAGGAAGTGTGTTGGAGGGGACCAGGGCCAGACAGTACACCCCCACCTGGTGGATCCCATCTATGGCCTGTATGGGGAGGGAAGGGTACAGGGATTAGGGTGATGTGTGTCCCAAAGGACTCTGGTCAAAAGTAGTGCACTATTATACTGCATTAGATATGGCTACAGTAGTAAAGACATGCCATATTGCCTGTACATGGAGGAACACTGATTCTCACTGTTTGAGATATGTTAGGTATGGATGGCTAAGGAGCAAATCTTAACTTCCAATTAAGTCAAATTCTCACCTGGTCTCCTATTGACATCAATGCATGACTAAGTGAACGTTTGACTTAAGTGGAATATGGCTACAGTCGTAAAGACACCAAGGCCATGTGTAATCGGATAAAGAGGAAGAGAACATTTTATCTTATTTGTTTTGACTGCAATCACACAGCTGGAAACAGCTTTAACAGTGAAACCACAGTCTCTTCAGTTATGGATAGTAGCCCAGAGAGCTGGGTTATTACAGTACAGGGCTCAGTCTACTGGTGTGTATACTGTGTGTGTGTGTGTGTTTGTGTGTGTGTGTGTGTGTGTGTGTGTGTGTGTGTATACTGTGTGTGTGCGTGCGTGCATGTGCACCTGCAGCACTCTGCTCATCCACTGAAAGCTGTCCTCCTCTGTAGAGTCAGGTCTCTGCTCGGCCACCACCACGATCCTCTCATCATGTAACACAGAGATGGAGAACACTGCTATCCTGGAGAACAGAGAGATGGCAGACCAACCATAGTATTACATATAGAATGAGACCAATACTGTTTGCATTAGCACACAGCTATCCTGGAGCACATAGAAACAGGAGACCAATACTGTTACCAACACTGCATAAACACAGACACAATCAATCAGCTACGATCACCATAATTTCTTAATTAAGTCATCATTTCTTATTTAAGTAGTGTCAGGAGCTTTTCCAGTCCACATGACTTGACCAAGAAATATAGCCTTTAAATAGGGCCCAGAGGTTTTCCTGGTAAGTTCACATGAAGAAAAACTCCTATCCACAACTGATGGATTAGCAGCCACCTCCCCCTGTAGACAAACTTCATGGGCTCCACAGCCAGGGCTGTAGCCACGATGTCGTCAGCATTGTGCCTCCTTCCCCCCACCACCATGAGGCCGTCCATCTTGCCAGCGATGAAGCACAGTCCCCCAGGACCCACGAAGCCCAGCAAGCCTGTCCTGGTGAAGGGGTACTCACTGATGGGAGCCCCAACACTGTTCATGGGGAACACCTAGAGTACAGACACACACCTTTGTTTATCACTCTCCTAACAACCTGCAATACACACACAAGCATCACATGCAATCCCTGAAATTCAGGTAGAGAAAGTGATGATTAAATTAGCCCAATGGATAAATAAAACAAATGAATGAATAAACGCATCACATTAGGGTGCAATTCCATAAAATTACTCTCTCTCCACTAATGGATTGAATAGAGCACTTGAGGAATGTGGAATATGTTTTTAAAACTATTGAACAACAGCAGTTGTTAAAGCCAATCCCCAGGCGTCCTAACCGTCCCTAGCCAGGACCCAGGGGTAGCTCAGCACATAACACCACGCTGTTAGGCCTTACCTCAAAGGTGTTCTTGGTCATGCCTGAGAGACCGTAGTACGACGTTCCCGTGGCGATAGAACACACACACAGCTCCCCGATCTCATCTGTTTTGCATAACTGCGGAACCCCATCTGGTTTCACTACACACATGAGAGCTGCAAGAAAACAAAAAGAGGAGGAGAGTGGAGGGAAAAAAAGAGGGAGAGACATTGAGGCCAAGGGTTTATTAGTCAACAGCAGCAAGCGAGAGAGAGCGGGGTTTAGAGCAGTGAAGCCTGGCCCAGCTACCTCCCTGGTCCTGATTAAGCCAAGTGCACTTCATTATATAGTCACTGCATTACTCTGCAGCATATAGCTGAGGGGGAAAACTGAGGGTGCACTCTTCTGGTCTGTGTCCCAAATGGCACCATATTCCCTATTTAGTGCACTACTTTTGACCAGTACCCGTAGGGCTCTGGTCAAAAGTAGTGCGTGCACTATATAAGGAACAGGATGCCATTTGGGACACATCCCTGGTGTGGTCAGAGGTGGAGGACAATAAAAAGGTGTTGGGTCCTCAGGACCCAGGATCAACACACTCCCAGGAAGCCCCTAACAGAGAGCAGGTGAGGAAATGAGGTTAGGGTGACCCTTATCTGGTGCTGGAAGGAGACAGGTTAAGGGATAGGGAGGTGGTATGGAAGCCCACGGCCCTGGGTCACGGCTGCAGGGCCTTTGTGTGGGTGTAAAGGTCCTTTATGGACTCTGTATCAGGCAGCCAGGCACTCATCTTGGCACCACATGCTGGGGAGGTTGGGGCCCTCTGGACTCTAGAAACACATCACACAACCCCCACTTCTACCTCGGTCTTGCTGCATCCCAAATACCTTATATAATTCCCATAGTGCTCTGGTCAAAAGTAGGGCACTATGTAGGGAATAGGGTGCCATTTGAGTTACCCTCTCCAACCCTCCCACTGAGCCAAATCACAAAAACACACTCCTTAGAAAAGTAGGTTGAACTCTCCGTTGAGGAATGCTCCGATTACGCTTTTTATATTTTTATTTCAGGGTCAATATAACTTCTTTATGCGTGTTCGTGTTGGTCAGTTATGAGGCGTCGGTGAGTAATGCCAGGATTTCACATGGAAAAAAGATTCCACTCTCATTATCATATGACGTTATCTGGATAATGAACAACTTCTGCTTCATCTCAAAATATGGATATCAAAGCAATCTTTTTTGGATAATTCAGTCATCCATCAAGTAATGTGTGTGTGTCTGGTAAATGATGTTTGTTATGCTGCTTTCTATCCTTGTTAGGGGCATAAAGCAGACATAAAGCTGTGTTTGTAGTAGGGTTACACAATCTCCAGTAACCTTTTCCAAATTCCCAGGTGTTCCAGAAATACCAGTTGCAGGTTACCTGACTTCCTTCTTATTCCATTCTGATGCCGGGAATCTTCCAACCAGGATTTCTGGAAACCTGGAAATTTTGGGAAAGTTACTGGAATTGCAACCCTAGTGTTTACCTCCTGGCATGACGGTGCCGACGTCTTGCAAGGTGAGAACAGACAGCTTCTCCTCAGAGTCCACCCGGATGACCCCGTGACTCAGACCCGGCATGGACAGCACTCCTCTTCCTGGGGGCTGGTTACTGTCATCTGTGGGCCTATTAACAACACGATTACTTTATTGTCCATTTACTTCATGACCAACATAATAAATGCATATCCCATTCACCCCAGTAGACATGCACATAGAATACATACACTACCAGTCAAAAGTTTGGACACACCTACTCATTCTAGGTTTATTTTTTACATTGTAGAATAATAGTGAAGACATCAAAACTATGAAATAACACATATGGAATCATGTAGTAACCTTGATGACAGCTTTGCACACTCTTGGCATTCTCTCAACCAGCTTCATGAGGTAGTCACCTGGAATGCATTTCAATTAACAGGTGTGCTTTCTTAAAAAGTTAATTTGTGGAATTAATGCGTTTGAGCCAATCAGTTGTGTTGTGACAAGGTAGGGGGGGTATATAGAAGATAGCCCTATTGGTAAAATACCAAGTCCATATTATGGCAAGAACAGCTCAAATAAGCAAAGAGAAACGATAGTCCATCATTACTTTAAGACGAAGGGTCAGTCAATACGGAACATTTCAAGAATTTTGAAAGTTTCTTCAAGTGCAGTTGCAAAAATCATCAAGCGCTATGATGAAACTGGCTCTCATGAGGACCGCCACAGGAATGGAAGACCCAGAGTTACCTCTGCTGCAGAGGATAAGTTCATTAGAGTTACCAGCCTCAGAAATTGCAGCCCAAATAAATGCTTCACAGAGTTCAAGTAACAGACACATCTCAACATCAACTGTTCAGAGGGGACTGTGTGAATCAGGCCTTCATGGTCGAATTGCTGCAAAGAAACCACCCACTAAAGGACACCAATAAGAAGAAGAGACCTGCTTGGACCAAGAAACACGAGCAATGGACATTAGACCGGTGGAAATGTGTCCTTTGGTCTGGAGTCCAAATTGGAGATTTTTGGTTCCAACCGCTGTGTCTTTGTGAGACGCGGTGTGGGTGAACGGATGATCTCTGCATGTGTAGTTCCCACCGTAAAGCATGGAGGAGGAGGTGTTATGGTGTGGGGATGCTTTGCTGGTGACACTGTCAGTGATTTATTTAGAATTCAAGGCACACTTAACCAGCATTGCTACCACAGCATTCTGCAGCGATACGCCATCCCATCTGGTTTGGGCTTAGTGGGACTATCATTTGTTTTTCAACAGGACAATGACCCAACACACCTCCAGGCTGTGTAAGGGCTACTTTACCAAGAAGGAGAGTGATGGAGTGCTGCATCAGATGACCTGGCCTCCACAATCCCCCAACCTCAACCCAATTCAGATGGTTTGGGATGAGTCGGACCACAGAGTGAAGAAAAAGCAGCCAACAAGTGCTCAGCATATGTGGGAACTCCTTCAAGACTGTTGGAAAAGCATTCCAGGTGAAGCTGGTTGAGAGAATGCCAAGAGTGTGCAAAGCTGTCATAAAGGCAAAGGGTGGCTATTTGAAGAATCTCAAATCTAAAATATATTTTGATATGTTTAACACTTTTTTGGTTACTACATGATTCCATATGAGTTATTTAATAGTTTTGATGTCTTCACTATTATTCTACAATGTAGAAAATAGCAAAAAGAAAGAAAATCCCTTTCATGAGTAGGTGTGTCCAAACTTTTGGCTGGTACTGTACATACAGTGCCTTGCAAAAGTATTCATCCCCCTTGGCGTTTTTCCTATTTTGTTGCATTACAACCTTTGGATTTCATATAATGGACATATACAAAATAGTCCAAATTGGTGAAGTGAAATGAAGAAAATAACTTGTTTCAAAAAATTACGAAAGAAATAGGCTACAACATCAATTATTTGTCACTATTTTGAATTGTTATGTATTATGCACTGTCCATACAACTACCCTAGGGGATTAACTTTAAGTTTAGGGTCTAGAAGGTCATTTTTGTCAGGGGGTTCAGGGTTGCATGCAAGTAATAGAAAGTAACACTGAAAGTGCAGGCTAGTGTTTTGTTTGGGCTGCATGCCTTAGGGGTTGAAACATTAAAGGGAGGTACAGGATGGGTGAGGGGTGACATCAGCAGCAAACACACACACACACACACACACACCACCTGGGGGTGTGGAGTTAGAAAGCCAACAACAGAGGTAGGTAAGACAAAACACACAGAGGTACAGTGCCTTGCAAAAGTATTCATCCCCCTTGGCGTTTTTCCTATTTTGTTGCATTACAACCTGTAATTTAAATTGATTTTTATTTGGATTTTATGTAATGGACATACACAAAATAGTCCAAATTGGTGAAGTGAAAAAAAATAATAATGGAAAAGTGGTGCGTGCATATGTATTCACCCCCTTTGCTATGAAGCCCCTAAATAAGATCTGGTGCAACCAATTACCTTCAGAAGTCACATAATTAGTTAAATAAAGTCAACCTGTGTGCAATCTAAGTGTCACATGAGCTGTCACATAATCTCAGTATATATACACCTGTTCTGAAAGGCCCCAGTCTGCAACACCACTAAGCAAGGGGCACCAACAAGCAAGCGGCACCATGAAGACCAAGGAGCTCTCCAAACAGGTCAGGGACAAAGTTGTGGAGAAGTACAGATCAGGGTTGGGTTATAATGAACATCCCATGGAGCACCATTAAATCCATTATTAAAAAATGGAAAGAATATGGCACCACAACAAACCTGCCAAGAGAGGGCCACCCACCAAAACTCTCAGACCAGGCAAGGAGGGTATTAATCAGAGGCAACAAAGAGACCAACGATAACCCTGAAGGAGCTGCGAAGCTCCACAGCGGAGATTGGAGTATCTGTCCATAGGACCACTTTAAGCCATACACTCCACAGAGCTTGGCTTTACGGAAGAGTGGCCAGAAAAAAGTAATTGCTTAAAGAAAAAAATAAGCAAACACGTTTGGTGTTCGCCAAAAGGCATGTGGGAGACTCCCCAAACATATGGAAGAAGGTACTCTGGTCAGATGAGACTAAAATTGAGCATGTTGGCCATCAAGGAAAACGCTGTCTGGCGCAAACCCAACACCTCTCATCACCACGAGAACACCATCCCCACAGTGAAGCATGGCGGTGGCAGCATCATGAGGGCTAGGGATGGGGCTGCTGCCTGAGTGGAAGCGGGAGCTCGACGCCCATGGGGCAACGGAGGGCTGTAAAATACCAGGACAATGCCATCATGGGGGTGCTTTCATTAATGGTGCTGTGTGTGTGTGTGTGTGTGTGCGTGGGCAACAGAGTAGAAATGGCAATTGGGTTTTTATTGGCAGGCCGTTTATTAGATTTGTGAGTTTGAAGCAGTGTTTTCTGGGTATACAATTATGTAATTGCCACAGTATCCGTAATGGCAAATTGCCATTTATAAATGTTGCATGTGGCGTACACAGTGAGCTTTTACAGTGTCATAATCAAGGGCAGGGAGTTCAATCTCAAATTACAGGAAAAAAGTTAATTAAACTTGCCTTCGTTGCTGTAAGCAGGGGCTATTTGAAGTTGAGCTACAATATATAACAGGGCGGGGGGGACAGCTATAACCGCCATAACCCACAGGACAGTAAACTTAAGAGTTTTGTATAACAGTTCATACTAACGAGTGTGTGTGTGTGTGTGTGTGTGTGTGTACCTCCTGATGGCTACAGTGAGGGCCTCTGGAGAGCTGGCACAGGGACAGATAACCTCAGGCTTCAGCCCCTTACTCTGGAAGACATTGAGGAATGCATCACACGATGAGATGGACCCTGAGAGAGAGAGAGAGAGAGAGAAATAAAGAGGGAGAGAGCAAGACAGAGAGAGAGCGAGACAGAGACAGAGGGATAAGAGAGAGGAAGATGGACAGAGAAAGAGATGTGTACCTTACGTTAAGAGTCAATGTTGAAGAACAATCAGACATTTTGAGTATGTTGGAAGCAATAGATTTTGCTCCTGTGCGAGGGGAGGAAAACTCCAATAAAATACATCATACCAATCTAACATGTCAGCATTGTTTGATTATGTGGATAACCGTTACAGCAGGTTAATTGCTGTGGCACAGTTGATTTTCTCCCTGCTTGCACTGCTTGTCTGCCCCACCGTAACCCTGTCAGGCTGAGCTCAGCTGCTGAGCAAGCATACTGTTCATTATCAAATGATGTAACCAGATTGTACTGCCCTCCGTTACCAGATCTCACTGCCGCTAAACCATTCCTACTCATTTGTTCCTTTCAATTATATTCTTTAGATTCATATTTATAGGGCTAGTATTGGAAATGAACAACATTACTTAACCGTTATCCTCTCCATAGGTACCACTAGCTATAGTAATGTAATGTAATATAGCTGTGGTAGTGAGTGTTTTTACAGCACCAGTGGTAGCTTACTGTGTTGTTCCATGACAGCTGCTTGGTCCATTATATCTTGGCTACAGTATACTTCACTAAGCCATTAAATGCATTTCCCCTCTAGTTGGAATCACAACCACAAGTTATACGATTACTTAGCCTAGATGACAAAGCGACATTCTATGAGACCCGCATCATGAACATAGGCTGCCACAGAATAGGTTACTGTACAAGGTATAGAGATCCTATAGTTTTGTACAATATTTTACCATATCTAGAATTAAAGTTTCCCTGACCAAGATGGCAGATTTTTTGTCATGTTGCTAGGACGCCAATGTCCACTAGTGAATTATAGGATCTCTATGGAACAAGGTATAGGATTCATATAAGACTCTCCTGGGTAGTGTCTAGTACTAGTTAGCTCTAATGGATGGTGTAACTCTAGGCTTCTATTTTGACCTGCTGTCAACAGGTGCCATATGACTCATGCACAACACAATGGTGATTTCAAAGTTCATGGCCTGGTGTGGTGTGAATAGAAAACTCTGTTGAGCAGTGTTTTTTCTGTGGTGATAGACTGGTAGAAAGAGAATGAGAGCGAGAGAGAGCGAGAGAGAACGAGAGATGGTCCAAGCCTAAACCACACAAATACCAACACTGGACACTATGGAACACAAAGCTTTTACCATCTCATCCTGGTATATACAAGGTCTGAGGTCATCTGCCTTTGGACTAAAGAGC